GAAGAAAATGAAAAAAGAAATCAGGACTGCGACGGGCGCCATCACCCACTGATACAAGGAGAGGGATCTAATGAGAGTTCACCAAGGCCAGTTGTCTGGGATTGAGCGAGCACGTAATCCAGCCAGATTCTCTGGATGTGGCTGGCCCGGAGTCTTTCTGAAAAGCCATTGACAATGACACTGGGACTTGTTTCCTCTGCATATACTGGATTTTTGGGATCTAGTCTGTTTGGATACTCACCTTCCTGGACCTGGAGGGAGGGGGGAGGAACTTGAACTTCCCACAGGGCAGGAAACCCTGACTACTCTTAGGGATGGAGAGGGAGTGGGGGGAGTGGGAGGGTGTTGGGAGGAGGGGCGGAAATGGAAACTTTTATAATTTAATAAACTTTAAAAAAAAAGCAAAATGTTTTATTAATCTGTGGCTCATCTTAAACAGATCTCATCTGAAAAACATTTCAAATGGTCTGCCTAGATTTCATATATATTTCGTGTAGTTCCATCTAATGCTATCGTCTAACATACAAAAACATGGTGTCAGCAGCTTATATCTCAAAAGAGTTTTCTTCATAAGTAAATCTATTATAAATATAGACATAGCTTTAAAAATGGAATTCAACAGTCGAAAGGATGAATGTAGAGGCCGTGTTACTGCCCACATCTGCTGTGGGGAAGGTTTTCCTAGCAGGACTTGTCTTTCTAAACGTGCCGACCGTGGCTTCTTTGGTCTGCCTCGTTGTTCTCGTGCATGCAAAACTCGAGGACTAGGAACTTTTCATTGTGTCTATCAAAATGATGGGCACCTCTTAGGCTCGCATTAAGTTTTGTGGGGATGGACATGTTTTTGTTTTTTGTTTTTTGTTTTTTTATCTGTAGTCTGGTACCATTGCTACTAATTGTAGTGGCTATGGGGACCTGAAATGCAGCTGATCTGATAGAAGTGATACAAGTTTATTGTTTTATTCAAATGATATCATCTGGCTTCCCCATTCAAATAGAATAATTTCACTAAGGCTTAAATATTAAAATGCTAGAGTGTAATTGAAGTTTGAAAGTTCAGGCTTTTTAATTATAAAAGTCAGAGGGCTTTTTTTTTTCTAGATAAGAAGAGCAAAGAAAATGTTTATTTTGTGCAGGCTCAGAGAGTTCCTGGATACTTTTGTTCTTTTCCAATTTTTTTTTTCTTAAAAGTCCCAGATGCCTGGAGACTGTGGCGCACGCCTTTAATTCCAGCATTCAAAAGGTAGAGGCAGGTGGATCTTCGTGCGTTTGAGGACAGCCTGATCTACAGAGGTGTGGAGGGCCAGACCACATTCTCCATTGCTTCAAGGAACAAAGGTAGAGATTGACCTCTGTGACCCCAAGGTGTGGCGGTACACGCCTTTAGTCCTGATGCCTGGGCGGCAGAGGCAGATTGACCTCTGTGACCTCAAGGCGTGGTAGTACACGCCTTTGGCCCCTATGCCTGGGAAGCAGAGACAGGCAGATCTCTGTGAGTTCAAGGTGATGTAGCACACGCCTTTAATCCTAGCGCACGTGCTTGGTAACTCTCTACTGCTGCGTCCCTGCCTACTCCCGAGGCATCATCTGGGATAATGGGCAGTGGACCAATCCAAGAGTGACACGTCAGAAGCGAGGACTGTTTCCTTTATAAGGGCTGGGCTCCCCTCATTCGGGGTCTCCGCCATATAAGCTTATGCTCTCCCTCTCAAGACGCATAAAGCTTTACTGCAGAAGAATCCTAAGTGTCCCGCGTCGTTCTTGCGGGCGAGACGGTAGTGCGGGACACAGAGGGAGTTCCAAGGACAGCCTGATCTACAGAGGGAGTTCCAGGGCAGCCAGGGCAACACTGGGAAACCATGACTTGAAAAAAAAAACCAAAGAGAGAGAGAATGAATAAGAAGGACAAGGGAGAGGAGAAAGAGGAAGCCACAGAAAATGTGCTGCATTGACAGACAGGAGTCAGCAACGATATTCCTGGACCAGCTCGTGTGGACATCCGAGTGAAGAATATTTAGTTGAGGGCTTGTTCCAGCTTTATTTTTTTTGTTGAAAGGCAAGGGAAGGAGTGATAAATGGCACAAAGAAGAGGAAGTTAGGACTGGAGCCTACACTCTCCCTATCTATGGGAAAGGCAAAATGGGGGCACACATGGCTGTGTATATCATAAACAGTGTTCAAGGAGCAGGACCGTGGGCTCTGCTGTGCCGGGCACTTACAAGGGCGTTGAAGGGTGAGATGCCCCTGACCTTAGCAACTGGGGCTACTGTCACCTTTGTTCTTAGACACTGAAACCTGGTACCGGGATCCAATGGCCTCCTTGACACGTGGCCTAGCTCACCTCTAGGTTACCTGAGTGGACCAAGCCATGTGTCTCTCTGTTACTTTTTCAGTGATGCTTCAAAAATTGAGACAAAATACCAAAAGCAAGAAGCCTTATTTAATATAGCACAGTCTATACATTGAAAATATATTTTAAATGATTTAGAACTAACATAGTTCTAAACCCGTTAAAAATAAGGTGAAATTAACAAAAAAAAATCACATTTTGAAAAAAATGTACATACATATAAATTCTTGTTAAGAACCATCTGAAGGTACAGTAAGGCCTTTTAATTTTCTTTTTCTTTTTGGTTTTAGGAAATAAAAGCCAGTGCATAATTTAGAAACACTATAGCATAAAACCCTAAAATTATCTTATGTACATTTTTAATGACATCAATTTCATCTTTTAAAAATTATAGAACAGAATTATGAAAGAGATGAGACCAAACCCCAGTAAACACCATTTCCTTCCCTTAAACGCTCTCACGTCTCATGGTTTAGAGAGTAAGCTAAGCTCACAAACTTACAAACATGGAACCTAGGGCCCCTTCTCTTGGTTACAGGAACCTGAAATGGCGTCTGTCTTGAACAGGCTCACTCTCCCTGCCAGGCCTCCATTCTTTCAGGCACGCAGTTCATCCCTTTGTCCTGTGTCTTCTTTCCACACAGCTTCCCTTGTCAAGAAGTACCAGGCTCTTCTCCTCAACCTTAATAACCTAAAATTCGGGGGTCACGCTCTCTCAGTAGCCCCCTTAGCTGCTGCAGACTAAGGCAGCATCTGTATTTCTCTCCGTGAACCCTCGGGCTCATTCCTGCACTGACATGAATGTAGTTCTAATGGTACCAGCTGGACTGGGGGCTCTTCAGGGCAGCAGATGTCCTGGTAAAAACTCTGCTACCTATTTCAAGGCTGAAGGTACCTAGAGTCTTAAACACAGACACACACAGATGTCCAAACTGCCATTTATCTACACCCTGGCCTCTAAGAACTAGAGCGGTAAGAGACTTACTAAAGAATGGGGAAGCCAGGGAGCATGCTCATCAGCTTAAAAACAGTCCCTTCAGTGTTCCGATAAATTAGCTACAGACAGAAACCTACATGCACATTCTGTCTGCATTTGGAGAAAACAACATACAATCGGGTTGTAACAAAATGAATCGAATACCATTTATCTACTTAAGTTGATACGTTTAGCAGTCACATGACAAGCACAACCTTTACAGAATGCTGGCTGCTTATCTATAATACTTCTTCAAAGAGTATTATTTGAATTTCTCTAGAAGTGATCGGAGGAAACATAGTACAACGCTTCATAGGCAAGAGACACCAAGGCCCCGAGAAGATAAATGACTTTGCTGAGGGTTCCGCGGGGAGTTTGAGAGAGAATGTGCTCAGGGTGGTGGCCAAAGAGGAGATAGCATGCAGCCAGCACGGCACAGGCACAGGTGCAGAGCCACCACACCAACCTGGTTACTCCTAAATGAAACACTCTCTCTGCTTCATATTGCCTAAAAAGAAACTTCATGAGGTTTTCTAGGAGATATTAGTGAGATTTGCATCCCATTCCAACCACTTCTTACTTTAGTAAAAATGAATGACTTTTACTTGGGTGAGGCCCTTCATAAGGTATACTAATATTCTAGGGAAATTTATTAATAATGTTAAGATTATTTCTAGGCTTCATCCGACGACGGAGACCCACATTGGAGCACTTGAAGTCAGGACCGCGAGGTGTGCGTTCACCCACTGATACAAGGGGACTGATCAAATGAGAGCTCATCAAGGCCAGCTGGACTGGGACTGAACGAGCATGTGATCAAACCAGATTCTCTGAATGTGGCTGACATGGGGGCTGACTGAGCCCCCAAGGTTCAAATGAAGACTGAGAAGCCATTGACAATGGCACTGGGTCTTGTTTCGTCTGCATGGACTGGCTTTTTGGGATCCTGGCCTGCTTGGATGCTCTCCTTCCTGGACCTGGAGGGAGGGGGAAGGAACTTGGATTTCCCACAGGGCAGGAAACCCTGACTGCTCTTGGGAATGGTGAGGGAGGAGGAGAGGGAGTGGGGGGAGCGGGAGGGTATTGGGAGGAGGGGAGGAAGTGGAAAGAGTGTTTTCGGATACTTGAATAAACAAGTCTAACGGGAAAAAAAAAGATTATTTCTAGGGAGAGGACTGGTCAATTAAAATCTTTTATTTTATTATAGAGTTGATGGTGGATTGCATATATAAATGATGTTTCTGAATCATTAGTTGAAGAAAAAAACCCCTTATAAGTCAATTTATATTTTTTTTGCAAGTAACAGAAATCAGACTCACAAATATCACTCTCCCTCCACAGCCACTGTCACTGCTAACAATGCCACACACACAACTGGATGAGGCCACTTCTTTATGCATTTGCTATTTCTTCTTAAGTTTAAAATTAAAAAAATTTAAATTTACATGCACGTGTATGTGTCTGGGTGAGCATCTGCTAAGTGCTCCTGGGTACCACAGAGGTCCGATGAAGGCATCGGGACCGGCGGAACTGGAGTAACAGGGTTACAGGTGGTTATGAACCTCCCAGTGAGGTTGCTGGGAACTGAACTCAGGTCCTCTCTAAGAGCAGCAAGGGTGTGAGCGACCTTTCCGGCTGCACGTTATGTTTTTAAAAAGGATTTTAAGAATGACATTCATTTTTATTGACTTTTATTAATTCAGATAACCAAAGAACTGAATTTTCACAAAATTGGTGTAGACAAACAAGTCCTTGAAAATCTAAAAGTTCTGTGCTTTAGTCCTGACAACTGACAAAACTCTAAGCAAAACAATTTTTTATGGGCCAAGAGTGTAACTGCTTTGTGGAAAAGCTGGAGATGCGCAAGCTTCATAGAAGCAATGCTGGAAAGGGTGTGGGTGTAGCTTCTGTGGAACCTGAGCAGAGGCGAGGGGAGAATATGTATGGGACCTATGAAGCCCCAGGTCTGACTAGGGCATGCAAGTGTGGGTGCAGGGCAAGGGAAGAACTCTCCACCCTGCGAGACCAAGTGTTCTTACCTGATAAAGTTGTCTGCAGTCACATCTCTGCTTACCAATTTGAAGATATATAACTGCACCATAGCAAGGTACTTAGAAACTCTGATGCTGATCCAAGTTAGCAGATTGGTTTAATGCTTTTACAGCATAATAAGTTAACTTCTTGGATTTGGGAATACTAGATGTTAAAATACACTACACTGATGATCATGAAATTAAAATGAAAGAAATTATCTATTAGCATGTCATTGAAAACACTTATTTATATATAAATTTCATTATTATACAAAGGCTTTCATGATGCTGCCCTCAAGGCTTTTATTTTAAAAAGTACAGAATGAAATTGTTGATTTTATTTTTATTTTTTGCAGTGCTTCCATTTGTGACTGAAGGAGGAAATATCAACAATGGCTCTCCACGAAGTCATAAGTTCAGGGTGAAACTCACTTCAAAAGCACTTCAGAAAAAATAAATATATAAGCAAGCATTCATAAAAACTGCCATAACACTCACATTTGGTAAGCATCAAATACACTAGATATAATAAAAATCAGCTTTAATGACGATTTTGCTGTTTCCACACAAAAAGTTCTGTGTTTGAGGTATCACTGTAAGACATGCCAATATGGCACATGTGTGTATCAACCTAATAGTCCTGACCAGCACAGAGACTCCCTGCCAGACTTTCTAGTAAGCTAAGTGACTCTCTTTAAAAAGGGGATATTTTAATTGTTATAAAAAACATGGGAGGCATGTGCTAGGAACATGCAGTTCATAAAACATTGACACTTGTTACAAATACTTTCATTATTATCTTAATAGATCCCATTCATTTAAAAACATAAGATCAGTAAAGCAGTTTTATCTTCAATGATATTATTTAAAAAGTCGAGAGATTTAAAAACAACAGTGAAGGACTTCACTATCTTTATACATTACACAGTAGATAAAGCTATTAAACTTCTCAGTATCAAGAGCAAACCACTACCACCAACCTAGAACGTCACTGGAAGGATGCCATTTAGTAGCTGCTGTGTAGATTACTTGGTTTGACTGCGGTAAAGCCATGTGGCAGTTAACTTAGCAAGTGACAACACCAGCCTAACACACAGAGACACAAATACCCAAAAGGATGTGCTTTGCGTGTACAAGTATCTACACTTGAGCCACGGGTGCCAATTAACAAGATGGATTTAATACCAATGGGTAGAGAGAGAAGGGTCCCAATGTGAAAAATGTCTTTATGGAAGAGGCTGGGATATGCTGCAAAGCGTAATTATGTAGCAATTTCAAGGAAGGTACAATAATTAAAAATATTGAATTCTTCAATTTCCTGAGAGAGGCCAGAGATTCAGTTACTTTTTGGTGAATTCAGAACGGTCAGGGGAAGAATGTTTTTCCTTTTTTCTCTTCTTTTTTTCCTTTTTGTGATGTTTTCCTTTTTTTGATTTGTTCTTTTTTTCTTTTTTCTTTTCTTTTTTCTGATACTTCTGTTTCTTTTGTTTTGAAGAGTCCTCTTCGGTGGAGCTGGAATAAGACCTATGGGCAAAAACACAAGGACTGGCATTGCAGCGGAGCCTGCAGAATTAAGGAGGATCTGAGCTCCCTTCACTCTTGGAAGAGAAAGTTTAAACACAGCCTTCTATGCTCTTTAAATGCAGAATTCAAAGTTTTTGCTGCTTGGTCACAGAAGGTGACAAAGCTACATCTCTACTCTGCTTAGCTCTAATAATGCAATGGCTTTAGATGGGGCTGAGAAGGACATTCTTTCTGGCGCCGTGACAGGGATGCACATGGCCTGCCCTTCAGAATCCTAGAGGGAAACTGAAGCAGAGCGCTCCCCAACCTCATGCGCACAGCCCACTTGTATATGTAATAACTTGTTAGCATATTCTCTTAAGTCACAAAAGGATGCAATTATGGCTAAATATAAAAAGGATTCTAATTGTTCCTTAGGATGAACAGAAAAGAGCTGAAAATTAACAAAATAAAGCACTTTTGTGATTCCTGTGATTTTTCATGATAATGAACTTGATCCTTCTGCTTGCAGTGCTAGACATGAGCACTGATATTTCTGAGTAATTTTTATTACTTACAGAATGGGTGCTTTTAAATGAATACTGCATGTAGATGAATGAGGATGATTTATTGTTATACTTTATTAATATTTTAATACAAAATTGAGAGGAAACACCCATAGAATTCTCTTTCCTGATATGAGCTGCAGCAGAGGCTGGGAATGAGGAAAAGAAACAAACAAAAAAAATTCCATCTTTTCAGATCTTATATAAAGTATAACATTTTACCTATGTCCAAACTAAAAATATATTGACAACACAGAAATTGAATTAATTTAAAATCAACAAGTATCTCAAAAGGTAGTTCATACAGGTAACATTAAACAGACTAAGCAGGTTTTATTTATATATTTAGGAGTATATCTATACCTATATCTGTCTGTCTGTCTGTCTGTCTGTCTGTCTGTCTGTCTGTCTATCTATCTATCTATCTATCCATCCATCCATCTATCCATCCATCCATCCATCTATCTTGCCTATCTATCACCATATAACTATAACCAACATTTGAAAGCTATTTTTTTTAAAAAAGTCACAAATTTAAGAGAGAGTCGGAAGAAGTGTATGGGAGGGGTTGGAGGGAGGAAATGGAAGGGGGAAATTCTGTAATTGCATTTTAATTAAAAATTTTTAAAGTTAGAGTAGCAGTTTAGGAGCTAAAACCCGAACTAAGAAACTTCAGGACAGACACAGGGAGCAAAAGCGAATCCAGAGCCTGCAGTGTTCAGGGATTCCCATCCCAGCAGTGGCTTGAACGAGGCCCTGCCTCCAAGCTGCCCCTCAATTCCCTCCTATTCTCTTGCTGGCAGACTTATTTGCACACATACAGCTTCTTCTATGCCTGCACATTTTCTTTATCTTTTTATTCCTGGATTCTCATTTATAAGGCAAAACTAGGTTTGGGCACAGCACGCCATGAGACGGCTATCCGTACATGTATGAAGAAGTTTGGGTTTCAGGTCCTTAGAACTGTAAGGCTCAGCATAAACAGGTCTGAATATAATCTCTAACTACAAACCTAATATAATAAACAAAATATGTCAGAACATGAAAGACTACTCATGTTTCCTCCATGCAATGCAACCTGCTGCCTTAGCACAAATCCCAACACACTTGTCAGAAATCTGAGCCTGCTCCCAGCACTTCTTATGTTACAGATTAACCCCAACACCTGAAAGTGAGCTAACTCTGACCACTGACAAGGTTTCTGAAGTATTAAATATATATAGTTGAGTGCATTATAAAATTATAAAGTGGTAATACCTGATTAAAAAAAAAATCTGGGAGAATAAAGTCCAGACCAGACCTAACTATGAGCGAATGCTCAAAAACATGTCTACTTATCTCAGCTTGAATAAGACTGTACTTAGTAACCAGGGGGAGGATTTGTCTCTTAGCTGTGTTTGATTAATTTCTTTAATTAATTATTAAAAATCTTACCAGTAAAAAAAATTCATAAATGGCTATTGAGAGTTGTGGAAGGTCTGAAGGAAGTTTGGGCTTCTGAAAATCTATTAAATCCCATGAAGAAATTAATTTCTTAGTCATGGTAATGAAAGAAGAATGCAGACATTTAGAATCCAATTTCAAAATGAGCAAAAATATATATATGAGGAATTTAGATATGCATCAAATAAAAATTTCAGTTCTCACTCTAAATGTGAAGTCCAGGATACAGATGTATAAAGGAGGAGGGGTACCACCTCTCATCAGGACCTCCGTTTGTTCTAATGAGAACATGTCAGATGACTGTGTGATGCCATCTTTTCTGATTCCTAATTTCTAATGTCGAGGATTTTGCTACTTCACTACAGTAAATACAAACATATTATTCTCATTAAGAAAACTCTAACAGTAAATTAACTGGTCTATATGAAAAAAAATTTATAATCCTTCTGGACTATAAATTCTTTCTCAACACCTAAATAACCTATTAAAATGTACCTTTTCCTCTTTTTCTTCAATTTAATTTTCTCCTTGCTTTTTTCCTTTTTCTTCTCCTCTTCTTCATTTATTCCTGTAAGGGAGAAGGTGGAGGAAACCATCAGTCACCACAAGTCTACGTACAAATATGCTGTGTGTGTGTGGCGGGGGAGGTGGGTGAGTGTGTACCTGCGTGTGCATGTGTGTGTATGTGTATTTTATTTTACAGTTAGGAAGATGAAGTCAACATAAACAGGAGTAAAAAGTAAAAGCAAGAAAGGACCTGAAAAATGACTTCTCTTTCATAGATGGTAATTACAATATAATGGTGATATCTTCAACTAAGAAACTCAGAAACATTAGCTCACAGATTATGTCTTAAACTTAAGAATGAAATCATACTGAGCATTTGGCTGATCACAATGATACGAAATCAGAAATTACTATCAAGTGGAAGATTATGTAGAGGAAGATTACAAATATGTATAAGCAAACACCACACCCTGACCCAACTTCCGTGTCAAAGGAAAGTGAGAGAAAAAGCACAGCACACAGTGGGTGCAGCGAAGCAGGAGAGGACACAGCACATAGTGGTGTGGACAGTGGAGCAGAAGGTGAGGACACAGCACACAGTGGGTGCAGTGGAGCAGAAGGAGAGGACGCTGCTACGCAGTCAAACACTGAATAAGAACAAAAGAAAAGGTATACAGAAATAGAGACAGATAAAAGCCCTGAGGCCAAAGATAGATGGGGTAATTTAAGAAAATATGGCAAAAAACGAGCCAAACTAAGGCTGTACATTCGTAGCTAAAAATAGGCCTCTGTGTGTGATTTACTTGGGAGCTGGGTGGTGCGCCCCCCAAAAGCTCAAAAAAAGAGTAAGAGCAAAAACATCCAACAACAGCTGAGGTGGGAGCTGAACTCAGGCCCCGTGGAACCACAGCAAGCTCTTGTAACCGCTGAGCCCTCTCTCCAACCGCTCTCAGGTACACTGTGGCAAGAGTTCGCCCCAAAGCAGAAAGGAACCTCCTGAGGCTTACAGTGGCAGTCTCAGCATGCTCCTTTGCCCATGCCTACGGTTCTCTGGGTACTCAAAATTGCTATGAAGCTTCTGAGCATCTAAAATCTCTGCTATTTGTCAATGGGACCTGACAATCCGATGTTTGTCTTATACCAGTGTAACAGGCAACAAACGAGGAAAAAGCAAAATAATAGCTATGGAATCAGAAGCTGACTTGCCTCCTCCTGATCGCTAATCTCATGCCAGTGACTTCCACCCAAGCCTCTGTTCTGACCTGTGCGGTAGCTCTTACATGTGATAAGAAAGACGCCTCTGAGATGAGCACAATTATACAAGTGTGACATGACGCAGAAGGAGACACAGGCGAAAAACCACTCTTACTTTTCTCCTGCAGAGCCTGCAATTTGTTCAGTTCTTCATTTTCTTCATCGCTGTCCTCACTACTTGTGCTACTGACGTCCAACACAATGTCCCTTTTGGGGTCAACCCGGAGAAAATTGCGGCACTCAAAAGTCAGATGACCAGCTAAATAACAAAACAAAACGAAACAAAAACCAAGAAGGCTAAATGTAGTTGCATTTCATTTGTATTTTAATAAATAAAGCTTGTCTGAAGATCAAAAAAAGTAAAACAGCCATACTGGCCAGCCCTACAGACCAGGCAGCAATGGTAATCCCAGTAGCCACAATGACACACACCTTTAGTCCCAGCAGACACGCTAGCTTGCCATAGAAATCAGGTGGGAGTAGTGCACGCCCTTAATCCCAGCACTAGAGAGGATTATAAAGTTGGAGGAGACAGCTCTCAGTCTCAGTCTCATTCTGAGGTTTCCTGGAGGCAGGATCACCATTTTCGAACTGAGGTTGAGGTAAGAGCCAGTGGCTGGTTTTGGTTTTCTGACCTTCAGGCTGAATCCCAATTTCTGTCTCTGAGCTTTTATTAATTGTGTTTCAGATAAAACTACACACACATCTGTGCTCGTCGTTTTGGTGCGTCACCGGGGCAGTGGAGTACAAGGTCAATAACAGCACAAGAGCCTTAACTTTTATTCTGTTGCTGGAGGTCAGACCCTATACGCTTTTTGTTGGAATACAGTATTCCAACAGAACTTTCCCCTTCATCGTTGGAACTTCTAATTCAAGAAACACTGTGGGGGCACTTGTCATGCATTTCAGAACACTGAATCACTGTTTTCCCTTTCTAAATGCACAGGCTATTTTACATTATTTAGATTAAGGTAACTAAAAACATTCTCTCATACATGAAACCGTATATTTTATTCGCTCCCTGTAGCCTCTCCTCCTCTGCTGCCTACCAACTTATGTGGTTACAGCTTTCATCTAATTCAAGTGGTCATAATGCATAAGCATCACACAAAACTAAAAATACTTCTTGAAAGGATTTAAAACATTAAATATTTAAATTCTGATCTCACTTTTCCTAAAATTCCTCCAGTAAGGAAACTTCCGTCATGGCCCCCTGTGATGGTTCTAACCTGACCCTGACAGGATCGGGGTCAGCTGGAGACAAGCCTCAGGCTGTCTCTGAGGGTTTAGAGAAGGTCAGAGGAGGTGGGAACATTCGCCCTATGTGAGGGCAACAGCATCCTAAAGGCTTGGCCCTGGACTGAAGGAAACAGACAGAATGGGCTGACAAGTTTGTGTAGTGGCTGAAATCACTGGCCTTTGACCCTGAGGACTTAAGTTCCATCCCTAGGATCCATGTGGTGGAAGGGAGGAGAGAACTCCACAAGTTTTCCTGTGATGTCTACATGTTGCCATGGCACAAGAGTAAATACACACGTGCGCGCATGCGCGCGCGCGCACACACACACACACACACACACACACACACACACACACACACACAGACATGGCAGGGAGGAGAGAGGGAGAGGGAGGGAGGGTTTCAATGGCTCCATTATCTTTCCCAAGCGCTGTCTCAGTCCTACCTCATCCCATCCTACCTTCTAACATAATTACGGTGCTGGGATTGGAGGTGTGGGTCACCGCACCTAGAGATTGAACTCACAACTCAGCGAACGCTAGGCGAACACTCTACTAACTGAGCTGTATCACCAGCCCTGTAACACCATTTTTAACAGTAATTCTGGAGCACTGGAAAAGTGCCTGCCTCAGTGTAAGCTGCACAACTCCAGGTATGGTGGCCGAGTCTGCATGGCTCTTTTCCTTTAATCGCTATTTCGTAGGCATTCACGCATATCGTGGGCATTCTTGCTACTCCCTGCTTCCCTTAGGGTAGGGATCCTGGCTTTATGTGAGCGGCTCCACTCTAGCCGTCCTGCCACCACCAGGGCTCTAAGGCGTCACAGCACACAGTTCTGAAGACCACTCTGTAATAAGGAGGCTGCTTGTTTGTTTCCAGCTGCCCAGACCAGAAATAATCACTCAGAAACTATATCATTTAAATCACTGCTTGGCCCATCACTAAAGCATACTACTAGCTAGCTCTTACATCTAATATTAACTCATTTCCATTATTTTATATTTTACCATGAGGTTCATGGCCTACCAGCAAGGTTCCACTTGGCAGTTCGTGTCTTTCCCATCTGGCAGCTACATGGTATCTCCTGACTCTACCTTCTCCCAGCATTCAGTTTAGTCCTCCCCTCACCCCCAGCTCTGTTCTGGCCTGCTATAGACCCAAGCAGTTTCTTTATTCATTAACTAATAAAAACAACATATTCAGGCCATCTCACACCTCCACTCAGGTAGTGTGTGACTCACTGTGTGTTCAGCACACACTCCTGCTTTTGCTCTGAGACCCTTTTCACTCCTGCATTGGGAGGGTCACCTTTCCTTCTTGGCTTGGGTTCCTGATTTAGCTCTGCTGTTATCACATTAATTCCCTCCAGGGCTATGCACTTGGCACAGAAAAGGGGGCTTTCCACAGTTCTCACAGTAGCCCAGCTTGCCACTGTGACCAGAATTCCTTGTGACGCAATCTTTCTTTACTCAAGTTAGCTTTCTACCCAAATGCCTGGCACTGGAATGATCACGTAAGAGCAATGCTTAGGGTCCCACACCTAGTCTAGCTTCCCTTTAGGGAAGGTGGCACGACGAATTACTTGTGAAACTACAATGAAGTCTGGCTTTTGCCTGTTGCTGTTGTTGTTTTTAGGACAACACTGTCTTTCTAACCATTTGTCTCTGTGGGTTTCTTTTCTAAATATATGCTAAAAAGATGAAGGGTAAAGAATTATTAGATTGTGAGGGGCTGGGGGCTGGCTCAGTGACCAAAGCAGAAGTCACCTAAGTGTGAGGACCGGAGTTTGGGTCCCTTGAGCCCCTATATAAAAGGTCAAGTGGGCATGGTGGCCGCCTGTTGTCCCAGTACCTGGGAGGCAGAGACAGGGGGGTCCATGGGGCAAGCTGGCTAAGGCGAGTAGTCAAATCAGCAGGCTCTGGGTTTACTGAGAGATTGGGTTCAGGATGATATAACCCAATTACCACGAGCTGGGGGCCCAGATGGAATAAAAGGGGAAAGGACACCAGCCATGCAGGACTTCTCTCTGCTTCCTGACAGCAGTGGGGGATACACACCCCACCTGCCATCATGTTCTAGGAGACAACAGAGCGACACACGAAGGCTGGAGCTAGGGAGGAGCAACGTCTGAATGTTATTCAGACATTCTGTCACAGTGACCAGAAAGGAAAACGCAGTGACTAGCGGAAGTCTGTCAAGAGTGCCCGTCACTCAGGGGAAGAACAACAGCCAGCTGTGCCAAGTATCTTCCTGCACATTAAATAATAGCCCAGGCTCTCACAGGAATGAAAACCAGGGACCCATCAATGATCACTTTAGCATTATTCGTAATGCTAAAAGATAAAAACAACCAACAGGTGAATGGATAAAGAAAGTGTAGTATATCTATGCAATGCAACACCATAAGAAATACTGTCAATGTGTGCACACGGTACAACATGGGGTAACTCTGAAACATTTTGCTAAGTCAGACACAAAGGACAAACTCTGTGGCTCCTCCACTAAAGACTGTGCAGAGAAGCAGAAACTACCAAGAGCTAAGGAAAGGAAGGGATGCAGTTTCTACTTCACGACTAGAGTTTCTATTCAAGGTAATCAAAATGATTTGGAGTAGGAAGTGGAGATGGCTGTCCAGAACTACGAAGGTAATTAATGTTCAGAACGATTTACTGAAAACTGGTTAAAATTTTACATACGATGCATTTTTGCCACTATGGGAAGTATGAAAACAGAACAAGCACAGCACAGCACGGAATCTGATAACCAGCGCACAAATTCCACCTTCCCATCTTGTACCGTAAGAGCTTCCGTTTCCTAATACACAGCAATCCCCGTCCACAACTATGGCCAGTCAATGACCCAAAGTCACCCCTTACACAAGTTCTCCCAATAGTCACAGCAACCTCTATGAGGTTAGGTACTGTAGCTATCTCATTTTGCAGACAGAAAACTAAACCACAAATGGTGAAGCCACATGCCCACGGCGGCGTATCTAGTCAGTGCTGAGGTGTTCACCTGAATCATCTGTTGCCAGAACCACCAGAAGGCAATGCTCACTACAATGCAGACCAGGAAACCTTCTTCATGGAGTTATTTAATCATGGTCTGTGATATTTATTTTATTTGTATGGTTTTTTTGTAAATAACAAAGTTTATAAATTAATTTCTTACTTTTCATGGAAATATTTGTTGAATCACTTACATTTGTTAGAAAATAGCCCTTCAATGAAGTGGCAGATCCTAAATAGTCTAGTGTAGTTAGCACAGAAGTCAAACAACTTTGGAGACAGCAAGTAATGCCAAGAAAAACCATTGGTAAGGCCTGCAGAGCTGCTGGATTTGCCTCAAGGAATGCTGTTTACAGAATCAAATCACGGTACTGTATGTAATTACATAGGCTTGGGTGTACTTTCTAACTCTATTATATTAATCACATGGAAGACATTGTTGAAATCAAATTTTCTTTTTGCACCTGAGCAGAAATTCTGGAACCAATCAAACCCTTATACAAAGGGATAAATTCAGCAAACATTCAAAGATTGTTTTTAATGCCTTTACTCTTCATCTGGTATCAAGAAACAAAGGAATACATAGATGTATATATAGCATATACAAGCATACATACATACACATGTTTAAATCTTTTAAAGATTTACTTATATTACTTTATGTGTGTTTTTAATTTTTATTTATTTCTTGCCTGTATGTATGTATGTATGTATGTATGTGTGTGTGTATATATATATATATATACAATGTGCATGCCTGCTGCTGGTGGAGGCCAGAAAAGGATGCTAGCTCCCTGGGACTGGAGTTTCACATGGTTATGAGTTATCACATGGCTGCTGGGAATCAAACCCGGGTCCTCTAGAAGAGCAACAAGTGCTCTAAACTGTCTAGTCATCTCTCTAGCACCACCTATATTTTTATATTCATAGTCTTTTCTTTTATGTTTCAAATTGTCTTAGTTCTATTTTCTTCAAACTTCTAAATCTCCCGTCAACCCCTCACATTTCATGACTCCTTTGCTAGTTACCAAGGGAACTACAAACCCTGGTAGGGGCCCGGGACCACCCACAGAGCTGCTGAAGTCAGGATACTGAACCATCCTGCTCCCCCACAGCCCCCCAAACAATCGCCCCAGCACACACAAGTAGACAGAATATTGCTTTTCACTTACGGTAGCCACATTTTTTGCAGCCTGCTCGGACATTGTCCTTGTTGCAACCTGAAATACAATCAGAGAAGATTTGGAGAAATATATGTAAGTAAAAATAAAGACTTCGTCATATGATAAAATCCTAAGAAAACCTTATGTTCTAAAATTTCTTGAAAAAGAACTCTAATCTTAGCAACATTACTCAATTATTTTGATTAACAGCTAACTTACTGAAAGTGAATTTATCTAAATAATTTGACCAATATTTCAAGAACATATATTTTTCAGTAAGAAAACAGCATTATAGTTGAGAGCTTAAACATTTTAGGAATCTTACAACATTGGGGAAGAAATTCTAGGACACCATGGCTTATTGTTGAAATGTAATTAATTTACCATATATCTATAAATACTTACTATATATGTACATATACATGTAATATATATACATATAAACATTAAAGAGTAACATGTTTTTGTGTCTTCCAGTAGAAAAAAATAATTCTACCTTTTCTCAAAGAAATTGATGATATTCCATAAAATTCACTGTAATTGTTTGGTATCATAAAATAACTTAAATTCAGCACTTGAACTTTGATAAGCGAAAACAAAGTAGTCACAGTTCAATTCTGATAAAAGTTCACAAACATTCACAGCATTTCTGTGTAGTCAATACATACAGATAGTGCTGAAGAAAGGAAAAATCACTTTTAAAATTGTGATAAAATACACACCAAAGTGAGGATTTTCATCACTTCAAATGTGCATTTTAGCAGCATGGCAAATAGTTCCAATGATGTGCGGCTCTCAACTACTGTCCTCCAAATGATTTTTAGCACCAAGAAGAATAACTACTCACAGTAAACACCTTCGTCTCCCCAGTCTCAGCTACTCCAGCCGACTTCCTAACCATTTGTCTTTCTGGAGAAGCCAGGTAATAGTTGTTTTTTTGTTTGTTTGTTTTTTGAGACAAGGTTTCCCTGTGTAGCAGCCCTCGTCTTGGAACTCACTCTGTAGACCAGACTAGTCTCGAACTCACAGAGATCAGCCTGCCTCTGTCTCCTGAGTGCTAGGATTAAAGGCGTGTGCCACCACAGCCAGGCTAATAGCTGACCCTTTAAAAAGTCTGACATGGTGTTTTTAAGAATCATCCATATTATAACATGCACCAAAACTGCATTATTTTTTATGGCCAAATATTCCACTGAACATCAAAATGAACTTTAACCTTTCAGTAGCTTCTGTAAGGCAATGAGAGGCCAAGTGCAACATTATTCCATTTCTCTGGTGCACGGTGCCCACTTTCTAAATCCTTCAAGTGGAGTTATCATTCCCATGTGAGACTTTTGTAAATTGCAGAGAGTAGAAAGAAAACCTTAGTAGTTGTAAATGAAAATAATTTTTAAACCACTTCTTTAACATGATAAAGTTGAAACAATAGTTATTTCCCTACTCCTAATTTGGAGAAAAATATTATACTAAACGAGCTGCTCCTATAAACACAGCCCTACAACGTGTACTTAAATAACAAGTGTTGCTCTATTGCTCACAAACATCCTTAGAGAACATCCAAGTAGATGCACCTTGTATCCAGGTGACGGGACCAGGTGGATGCTGCATCCCGCTGACATCTGAGCCTCCCATGAACATATAGCACAGCTGTTAATATCTCCCTGCTAGCCTCTGAGTGACAGATCCATCATGTTTGGAGCTAGGACCTTTCTGACACTACTCATTACACCCTTCTCCTACCCCTTCCTAAGAACTCATTAGTTACAGTTCTTCTGAAGCCAACTTTCACCTCAAACTCTAGAAGCTGTTACTACTTTTTACAGTATTTACATGCTTAAATCAGAGAAGGAGTCACGCTGAAGTTTCTAAGCACTGTGTACTGATCCCTTCCCTTTAGACGCTGTCTCTACTTTGTCCTGTAAGAACCCACACGCCACAGTTAGCAGGATCAGCTGTGGAATATGACTGGATTAATATAATTTAAGGTTTCTCCATTATAAAAATAATTGCATGTTGACAAAAAAAATCAGAGAATATGGGTCAGTGTTGTTTCCATAGAAACCACAAATGTTGAATAATATGGAACAAACTGCTTTATGCACCAGTATTACTGCTGCCACAGACGAACAGCAACAGGCAGGTGTGAAACTATCTCACCTCTGCCTGTGCTAGAACTAAACTCATTTAGAGCAATAGACACTGATGTGAACTCATTCTTCAAGTGTTTCATATTTCTAGAATGAACAGAACATGAAATTTTTCTCAGGCTATCTTCTGTAACCAAGACAAAACTTTTTATGACGAAGAAATAACCAGATCTACTTCCTTACTAGCCTTTGTCTAAATTAAGATCTGTTTCATTTGTAATCATTTGCAAGACTGCCTGGCTAATGAGAGGCTTCTGCAAACCTTTGAGACCAAGGCAAAGGACATTGCAGACCTGGGAAAAGTGATGTAATCATAGTTCATCCTGTTGTCAAGATCTGGCTTCTAGCTAAGTATCTGCAATCTCAACATCAAGAGGTTGAGGCAGTAGGATGCTGAGTGATGGAGGGGGGTTAACTGTCTGTGTTACTTTCATTGGTTAATAAAGAAACTGCCTTGGCCTTTTTGATAGGCCAGCCCTTAGGTGGGAGGAGTAGACAGAATTGTGGGAGAAAGAAAGCAGAGGCAGGCAGTCACCATGACTCTCCTCTCCGAGACAGCCGCAGGTTAGAGTCCTCCCGGTAAGCCACCACCTCGTGGTGCTATACAGATTATTAGAAATGGGTTAATCAAGATGTGAGAGTTAGTCAATAAGAGGCTGAAACTAATGGGCCAAGCAGTGTTTAAAAGAATACAGTTTCCGTGTAACTATTTCAGGGGTAAAGCTAGCTGGGAGGCGGGTGGCGGGAAGCGGCCCACCACTCCTTTTACAGCTGAGTTCAAGTCTAGTTGGGCTACATAGTGAGCTTAAGGCCAGTTTGGCCTATTTGGGGAAGAAAGTTCATTTCCAAAGCATGACAGTGGCAGAGTGCTCCATTTGGTGGACTTCGCCTTTTCTGGTTTCTGAACATTGTTAGCAAGGATTTTCTTAGAGTCAATAAACTCCTTTCTTTTTCAACTTAATCTTTCGTTTTCTGTCGTTCAGACAGGAACTCTGGCTGTTGTGTGCTGAGGCCTTTCCCGGAGCAGCGAGCCACTCTCCCATTTACTTGTAGCTCCTTGATGTTCTTGGTTCCCTCACCACTAAGTTGGCTTAGGCAGTGATGCCTCCTGCCCCCTTCAAGTTCTCTTTGGTAATCAGGACCTACAATCTAAAGGTCACCATAGAAGCACATAATAAGGCCAGGTAGTGTGGATGCTGGGGGGTGGGGCCTTGAGGGCTGCATTCCAGTGGTGAAAGCCTCCAAGAGCAAACTCAGAATACACTTGAAGGGTTGCGAAACACTTGTAACTCGCAGGAGGGAGAAACTCACCACTGTGGAAAATCAGCAAATCCTGAGGAAAAGACCGATGGCCACTGCGAAAACAAAGGGGAAGAAGGCAAACAGTGGACCAGAAGAGTATGGAAAAGAAACAGGGACGGCTCCAAAACATGTAGAAAATGCTCATTAATAATGGTACCAGGATTCCATTTTCTCTTACGAAAGGAGCTCAGGTAGAGACTCGAAGAGAGCTTTGAGTGGGGCACACTCTAGAAGGGTCAGTGGGGGAGCACACTCTGGAAGGATCAGTGGAGTGTAAATGAGCATCACGTGAAGTCTACCACAAGGCCTTACTCCAACAATCTCACACCTGAGAACTCAGTTTACTTGCACAAATGCAAACCAACTATGTATAAATCTAAGTTATGGTATGAAGAAATGAGGCCAGTGCTTCATAAAATTTAACAATCCCTAGCACATACAGGAAGAGAAAAGAAAGTTACAGCAGAACTGTCTGTGATGTTGCATTATATAACAAGGACTGAACTTTACTTTGGTTATTTATTTCTTTTCTTCTAAAGCAGTGGTTCTCAACCTGGGTCGAGAACCCTTTGGGGGTCAAACGAACCTTTCAAGGGGTCGCCTAAGGACACTGGAAAACATATTTATATAATGGTTCATAACAGTAGCAAATTACAATTATGAAGCAGCAACGAAGGCAATTTTGTAGTTGGGGTCAGCACAACACAAGAAGCTGCATTAAAGGGCCACAGAGTTAAAGGGTTGAGAACCACTGTCTACCATACACACACAAATTCTTTGCTTGCACTTTTTTTTTTATCTGCTGGCCTTTTAACAGATGTAAATTAAATTTTAGTAAAGCAGCTGACACAGAAGGAAAATTTACAAACAGCAACAGCGGGAAGCAAAGGTGAGAAAAGAAAATCAGAGAAGAAGGAAGCTGAGGCGAAGGATAGCAAGCTGCTGGGGTTACACAGTGGAAACAATGTTTCAAAAACTGAAACAGAATGGCTAAAGAAAGGGAAGAAAAACAAGTGAAGAGAGTCTCTTGCCAGCTCTCTCAAAATACGGCAAAAACATCAGATTTGACATAAATACAGTTATTTAGAAGGTATATTGTCTGATTCCCAAGCCAAAAATAATTTTGAGATGCTCTATGGACCCTGTTGGCCTATAATTTACTATGTATGCTCGTCTGCCTTCAAATTTATAGTGCTGCTCCTGCCTCTAGCTCCCCAGTGCTGCGATTCTAGGCAGGCACACCACCCTAGGCTCAAAGTTAATATTCAGCCACTTAGAACTGTCAGGGCCTCACAAGATGGCAGTCTGGGTTCAGAACAGGCTGGAGAGTCAACATTCCTCAGAAACTTTGTTTCTGCTTGCCAGGAAAAGTAGTTACTTTCTTATCCACTCCTACAGCCATCCCCCATCCCCCCACCCCCCTTCCCCAATCCCCCCCCACCCAATCTCCAGAAAAGAGCATCTCGTTTTCTATTAACTCTAACAAGTCTCCAATAATTCAAGGACCCACGTTGGTCATCGGCTTCACTTGCCCTCCTCCCGCCTGCAACATAACCCCTATATCAGGCAGCAACCATTTTTGCTATCTTCTCTGTTGCCATATCCCTGGTACCGACCAGTCTGCTTCTCTCCCCACCTTTTCTTCTCTTCCTCCGCTCCTCTCTCTGTCCCTGAGAGGGAGCCATGGCAAGCACCCACAGAGACTCCGGCTATTCTCCCTCTCACATTTACAGTAAAAACCTTCCCCCAATCATGGAGCAGGCATTTAGGTGGCTTCTTCACTGAGCTCTTCACAAACGGTAACAGCAATCAGTAGAACCTACTTTCCTAGTTTATCTCTGTCTTGTACTTTGAAAACATAATCATTTAATGTCAAAAGCAAGCAGCTAAAGTGTCTAAGCTTTCTCGGTATCACTTAGCAACTGCATCACCTCTACCCTGGGACACCATCTTTTCACTTTTAATTTAATTAGATTCGGTAACAGTGGATTGGATTTCTTTTGTTTTGTAATCATTTTCCATTTGGTCATCTTATTCATTTAAGTTAACATACTGTGGGGTTTTTTCAATAGAGTATTAATTTATTGTGTGGGTATGTGCTTTTTAACCACAGATAGTAGGGTATTTAATATAGGAATGATAATGTCTGTATAAAATATAATTCTGTCATGCGAAAGTTGAATATAAAAATAAAACAAGTGTTAAAACTTTCTACTGGTTTATATTAATAGTTGTAGATATACTCTACTTTGGGATCTTACATGGAACAAGGAGACTAAAATAGAAAAAAATAACAGAAATTAGAAATCTTTCAAGAATTTAAACAGTGGGGAGGGTTGGGGGTGGATGTAAGGGGAGATGGGTAGAGAGAAGGGAGAAGGGGAGGATTTGGGATAGTTTGGGGGAATGGGATGGGTGGGATGGAGGAAGAATAGATATGGGAGCAGGGAAGTAAATATCTCAACTAAGGGAGCCATTTTAGGGTTTGCAAGAGACTTGATTCTAGAAGGGTTCCCAGGTCCAAGGAGAGATCCCCAGATTGTTCCCTGGGCAGCAGAGGAGAGGATGCAAGAACTGGCCTTGTCCCATAGCCATACTGATGAATAATTTGCATATCACCATAGAACCTTCATCTAGTGATGGATGGAGATAGAGACAGAGTCCCACACTGGAGCACTGGACTTAGCTAACTAGATCCAAATGAGGAGCAGAAGGAGGGAGAACGTGAGCAAGGAAGTCAGGATCACGAGGGGTGCGTCCACCCACTGATACAAGGGGACTGATCTAATGGGAGCTCACCAAGGCCAGCTGGACTGGGAGTGATGGAGCATGTGATCAAAATGGTCACTCTGAACGTGGCTGGCAATGAAGGCTGACTGAGAAGGCAAGGACAATGGCATTGGGATTTAATTCTACTGCATGGACTAACTTTGTGGGAGCCTGGTTTGTTAGGATGCTCACCTTTAAAGACCTGTATGGATGGGGGAGGACCTTGGACTTCCCACGGGGCAGGGAACCCTGACTGCTCTTAAGACTAGAGAGGCAGGGGAAGGTGGGAAGGGGGAGGTGGGGAGGGGGAGAGAGAAGGGAGGCGGGGAAGAGGTGAAAATTTTTAATAAATAATAATAATAATGAAAAAAATAAAATCACAAACCATTAAAAATGAAAAAAAATAAAATAGTTACAAAAAAAGAATTTAAACAGTAAGCTAAATAAAATTCTTGATGGAAATTCTTTGAACGAGCACGTCCTATTGTTTATGTCTCTTTAATCATTTGATCCCTGAGGGAGGGGTGAAAACCCAGTTAGAACCTCTTCAACTAATGATATAAAATAGCTAACTTAAGGCATAAAATTCTTCCTTTTATTTGCTTCACAAAATAATGGATGAAGGAAAGTTAAGTTGGGTATGTTGACACTGGCCTGTAATCAGAGACCGCAGAGGGGTTTGCCTTTAGCTTGAGATCAGTCTGCTGTGTCGTGAGTTTCAAGCAGATCTGAGATATACTCAGCAAGAAGTTACAGGGAGAGTTTAGAGAAATCACCAAAGTCTCCTTCAAAAATATATTGCAACTGTCTCCAACTAAGATGAGAACAAAAAGCCTGTGGTCTTTCCCAACCCAAAGATCCCTAACTTCCCTCTTCACTCTGCCCAAATTGGTGAGATCTTAACTGGGGAGCCCAGGTACCCATAAGCCTTGGGTATATAACCAAAAGTTATTGTCATGGGACAATAAGATTAATCTGTTGTCTAATGAAATGATCAAGACTGCCAGCACTGGATTGTGCTTGTTGTAAATGTGCCATAAATCCTGTATATGGGTGTATAACTCTGAACTGATATTAGACAAGTCATCAAAACAAATAAAGTCCCTCACTACAAGAAGCTACACCATACTAGGTTACCTAGGGCAGTGTACATTAGCATCCTGGCACACCCGGCCCTGCCCCTTGGGGACCTTGCAGTGTGCTCCTGTATGCAAGCAAGCATATCCTGTCCCTTTACAGGCAAAACTCTGTTAATTTCTACCTCTTCTTCCCTTTTCTCTCTGTATCTTTCTCTTCTCTTCCTCTGTTCCTGTCCCCAGTGGATGGTTTCTCCCCTCCCGTCCTCCCTTTTCTTTTAACAAAATTTCCCACATAAGCCCTGTTCTCCTGTGTGTCTCTCACCCGCAGTGTCTGCCTGGCCTGTCTGTTTCTCACCCAACATGGGCTTTCACCCGCCAAGGTCTCTCACATCATATCTGTGTACCCACAGCTGGAATGCATGACAGACTGCTGGGCAACGTGAAAAACAATGTATAAGTTTGCTAATAAGCACTGAAAAAGTGACAGGCAAGACTGTCAGCTGAAAGCCCGAGGCTGGAATAAATACATAACTAAGGGGTAACAGTAACACAGACACATGGCACAGAAAGAAAAACATGCAAGAGGTTAGAAAAGAGCTGAGTCAGGTTTTCTGCATCATAGATGAATACATAAGAAAGATAGAAGGCAGCAGAAAAGCATTGGTCATGCTCAGAGTTATACACTTCATTCTTGTTGAGAAGGGAGGTTTAATAATTTATAAGATGAAGAAATTATCTCCTTCGCTATGGAGACAATAAAACAGTCTATGGAAGGTTAAGTGACTTAAAGAAAATTACAAAGTTCACAGGTAACTGTCTGCCTCCCAGGAATGATAGACTCAGACATAATTTGATGAACATTATTTCAGCAGCCATGTTAGAGAGGGAAGAAGTTCCCTAAGAGTGTGGCTGAGGAATGAGGGAAATAGGCCGGAGTGTGATTTCACGTTTCTATGATTTCGTAGATGCTTCAGCAATGTGCTGAAGGGAGGTGAGATGGAAATGTTAATGTGGCGCTGTCATCCTCTGTCCTGGAGACAGACTTCCCTGGAGACACAAAAGGATCAGCTTTTGTGCCATCCCTATCAGTAACACACACCGCCACTTGTGTCTGGCCAACACTTGATGGAGAACAGGAGCTCACCAACACAACTTCAACGACAGCTAATCTCATCAACTGTGAACGAGCAAAGACACGCTCCCAAGAAAGTAAACTTCGCTGAATCCTATGTTCAACGCTGTTTGTGAAATAACTAAGCGTCTCAGATTTTCCTAAGGTCTTCAGTCTCTCATTGTTACCTACATAATGGTTTAAGCTAGCATACAATGCGGAGCAACAGCAGCGGGATCACGTGACCACTGAAACAGACAAGGCCGGTGGTTTCTGAAAAGCAGCCTCATTACTCTATAGTTACACCTTATAATAACCAGGAACAGAATCACCCCAAGCTGAATCCATCGCACCTAACATAAAGGAGCGTGACACAATACTTGTCCTCCTTGATGATCGCCTCAATGGAGCTCTATTTTCCTCCCATGCAGCGTCTGGATCGATCATCCAAGAAATTATCTTAACACCTTCTGTGTCTGTATTTTCTAAAGCGGGTTGCATTGTGCGTCCCCGCCACCTGTCATGCCTATTATCTTGATTTTTGGTGGCTCTAAGCAGTTTATGTAAGTCGTTCCATCTAGCTTAATGACACAATTTATTATTATGCTTTGAAGCATTATTTTGAACTGAAAAGTTAACATATTTTTAACACTGGTCCCAAGTTAAAGAGCATCTCAAACAAAGCGAGAAGAAAAGTCGCTTTTGTCCTTTTTCTTAAGTAGCACAGTTTCATCCCGAAAGTTTTACAGCGTGTCTCCTGGTGTGCTCAGACCACAAGGGCACTGTGAACGCCTGGTCAAATAATAAACAGTGACAGCGGGCCAGCTCCGGGTGCAGGTGTGTGATGCAGCGGTCACCAGAACCTCTCAAAATGCCTCAGCAAGCTACTGTTCAGACTTGTCTCTCTCTGATGTCCCCTTATATGCCATTATTCCCCAGTCAGAGCTCCTCTTCACACATTACACACCCTGGCCATACAGTCTCATTCGGGCTTTACCCCCTAATTCCTATGAGGTGGTGTTCTCAACTCTAACTTCTTGCCTAAGATCTACTTATTCCTATGCTATTAGCTGTTTCCATTTTGGGTCCGACTAACCTCAGCGCAAGCTTCAAACTGAACTCAACACCACTCTCCTCCCCCAAACTCTGCTCTTGGGAGATGTCTTCCCAGTTATGAGGCCTCTCCAATCATCTCACATCAGGAGCCAGGTGAATGTCTTTTCCCTCCTACAGCAAAGCAGTCCTCAATTCCTGGTGAATTCTACCACGGAAGACACACCTCCAATTTAGCTGCTTTTCTAAGGAGACCACAGCCTCAACAGGTGTCATGGCATACATAATTTACCAGAAACACCCCAAACCACCCACTGTGCCTCTAAATGAACTAACTCTCCTCTAGGTCACTGCATCTTAAAATGTAACTTAAAAAAACAACAACAACAACAACCCTAAAGCAGTTTCCTATAGTCTATCAACATCCAAACACTTTGTCCTTCAGGACATTTCCTTATTGTGCCAGGACAGGTTAGGAAATGCACTCCCACACGGTGGGGAAGAGCTAGGATAACCTGCATTAGCTGCCATTGGCTAAGAGCCAAGTTACTCGATTTCTATGTCCCCCAGCCTGTGAAGTGGGAATATGAACAGCTATCGCGGAGCAGTTGTTATTCAAGGAAGAGCAAAAAAATTACAATGTTTGACATAGTATCGGATGCATGGGTTACATAGTAAATGTTCCCCACCCTCTCACATTTTAGGTCTCATCTGGAACCTAAACCTTTTATACTCTGCATCCTGCTAGGTGTCCACACTATTTTGCTTGCCACAGCAGTAGTTCCACTTTCTGTAAATTCCTCCCTGCTGAGTTCATGAGAGCAAGGGTGGCTCTCATGCTCCCGACCACACCATGAAGAGTGGACAGTCTCTTCTCACCGCTCCAGAGGGGCTCTTTTGCAAACTGCGGAAGTTAGGTAAGCAGCCACCCACCCCACCTCCACCCCCACCCCCAGTTCTCTCTGAAAAAAGATTTGGAAAAGGCTGCCAAATAACAAAGGCAGAGATCAAACAGCCGCAGGAAGCGCAGTTTTAAGCAAAGTCGGGGCTTTACAAACATTTTCAGGGTTTTTCCTACAGTACTGTGCACTGTGAATCTCCAAAATTCGAGGCGGGAATATCTCTTAAAAACATCTGCCAACAGGAGTCTGCCGAGTCAGACACATCTTGACAAAGGCGGCTTGGGAAGTTTTTGCAGCTCCTGAACTCTCCAGTAAGCTGGAGTAGCAGACAAAAACAAACCCCGGAGCATGCCGTTTGTAGGTTAGAAACCTCTGAAGACAAATTGCAACCTAGAAAGAACAAGATATAATTCAACAAGGCTCCTTCTTTTACAGATAGGGAAACTGAGGCCCTGAAGGACACAACAAACCGGCCTACAGCCACACTGTAACTACACACAGGCAGAGCCAAACAAACTCCAGGTGCGCTTCTGGACTTGGTGTCTTTAGTATAATGCGTATGGCTCCCTGGGTTCGACGGATGTTCACATTTCGAATTTTATTTTGAAGCCCCGTGAAAGTTCCTGCTAGTCTTCTGGGTAACTTGTCCTCTTAAGGCCTAGAGTTTATTGCTCCCAAGTCTTCTCTTCCTCCTACAGTACACTTTCCTTGTGAGCCTGGGCAGTTCGGGCTTGCCTAGGAGCGACCGAGTCGATCTCTCCCTCTTTCCTCGCTCCCTTTGGACTTGTAGTGTCAACTTTTTTTTTTCACGTAAACCAACCAACTCTGTACATTTTCAGGCCTTCGTCTGAATCCCCGAGGACTCCCCGCCGCCCCGCTCCCTGGACTCCACTGCTCGCCCCATTCCTCTGTTAGGGGACCCTGCGGTTGATCTTCACCTGGGACTGCCATGAGGCAGGTGAGCGGAGTCCTGAGCTTTCGAGATCGCGTTAGGGTCAGGTCCGTTGCGAGGATAACGCACTATCGGAGAGATCTCTCCCACCCGGTCCCCACAACTATAGCACACGGCAGGGGAAGGCCAGACGCGTTCCCAGGGTTCGCGGAACTAAGGCGCCGCGGTAGCAATTTCCAGGGGAGTCCCACTGCGGAGCACACGTGGTCGGAACCATTTTGACCGACTTCGGGAGGTGAGTGCTAGCTGAGAACACCTGGTGTGGACGCAGTAATGGCATTTAAGGGTTTGCCCTTTAACTATTATTACAGGTAACGTGACAAATTAAAGTTGCAGAGGTTTTATAACCTTTTCTAGTTACCCGAAGGACACGAAGTTTCCCCCTCCGGAGTTAGCGGTGTTCGAGTCCGGGAGCAACATGGCGGCGCCCATGCGGGGCTTGTTTGGGGACTAACTTAGTGTTTAGTACGGCTGTCTGGCCCGACTCTGGCCGAGTGAAGTTTCCCCCAAGTACCCACGTTAAAGAATTGTCTACTAGCAGGCGGACACCGTCATCTGCCCGCAACCACACTAAGGAGCAGAGTCCTGAGCACTGACCAAGATGAGTAACATCTACATCCAGGAGCCGCCCACGAATGGGAAGGTGAGAACTTCTCCACCATACCTGGACACCCCAATTGAGAGCTTCCTGATTTACAGAGGGGAGGGAGGGGCGGGTGTCGGGTATCATAGAGTTGGGAAGACCAAAAGGACGGTCGTCCACACTGATTCTGGACAGTGTTGCGTCTATATTTATTTACGTTGACACGTCTCAGCATACTTTTGAAAGCATCCTTGAGCAGCTTCTCTATTCGCAAGTCTTCTGGCCCTTTAACTTACTTGACCCAGCTCTGGGCGCCTTCTGGTGTCTGTTGTTTATAAAAGACTTAGACTAAGATTGTTAAATTTTGTTGTTGTTTAACTTGGGGGATCATGCCTTTCTCTACAATCATTTATTGAATGCCTGCTAGGCACCACACGTTCTAGTAGGTGCTGGTGATACAAAAGTTGGTACGCAGTTATCTAGTTGTCACCCTGACAGAACAAGTAGCTTAGTTTGGGATTTGGCTAGCTAAGGAAAATCTGCCTCACAAGATCTCATTATGTACTAGTCAACAAACACTAGCTGCTAATTTCCTAACTTGTCTCAGCTTCCTGAGACATGCATCACTACACCTGGCTTTGGTAGGTGAGGTTCTTGAGGAGATCATATTGCCATGGCAGTTTGATGGAGTGAAAAACTGGAAAGGATGGGAAAAACATCTTAGAGGAGCTATCTTTGAGATAATTGTCAGTTAGAAGCATCAGGACAATGAGGACTATTACCACATTGGGATGGGAAAGGATTCCCTGATAATTTTATGATCAAGCTTTATTTCTTGTTAGTGTCCGTCTCATTTAATAAGTACTGATAGAGAGCAAATAGACTGACCATTCTACTATGCAGGCCCTTCACATTGCTGAACATTTGCTGCACACATATGCTATTTTACCTGTTCAAATGTCACCCTTAACAAAGGGGCCTGTCAAACAGGAAATCTCAGTGATGCCCTGGGTCTCAGTACATTCTGGCCCTCAGGGTATAGTTTTTAATAGTATCTCCCTTTTGTTTTAGAATACAAACAATATAGGAGCAGTATATGAGCATCTAGAAAAATGCTTGGTGCATAGGAGATGGAATTCAAATACCGTGAAAGAAAGGATGGCTCGGCAGATGAGCTGATGCTGTTTTCTTTAGCTTCTGAGAGGCGCTGCACACAGGTGAGGGTGGGGTTAAACTGTTGTGGGTCTCGGCCACATTTAGTTGTTCCACTCTCATACTCATACTTTTTTAAAAAAAGAAATATAACAGGTTATCATATAAGTAAGTCCTTGTCTGTCCTGGAACTGGTTGTTTACTTTAGGGAAAGATTTGACATGATCTTAGAGAAAAAGCACTTCTAAACAAGAGATCATTCTTTTAACAAATATTTTTAAAATTGTATATGTATCAGCAAGTGTGCGATGTGTGTGTGTGTTCAGACTTTCACACATGCAGATGCCACATCACACTTGGGAAGGTTCAGGTATAGCCTGGCTGTTGGTCCTCATATTCCACCTAGTTTGAGGCTGCATCCCTTTTCTTTGTTGTTTGATGCTGTGTATGCCAGCCTGTGAGTATGGGAGGTTCTCTTGCCTCTGTTCTTCAGCTCACTATAAGAGCACTGGGATTAAAGACACAGAGTAGCTGGCTTTTATGTGAGGTCTGGGCATTTGAACTCAGGTCCTTGGGCTTGTATGCAATTTACTTATTGAACTCTTTCCCCAACCCAACATTTTTTTACCCCTGGAAAACACATGCAAGGTTTTTCGTTAGGTTTTAAAGGTGGACTGGAAGAAAATCCATCATGATCCCTTTTGTTGTTGAGTCAGTTGAGTGAACTGTGTGTTGACTGATGTTTCTGTCCTACCAGGTCCCACAGCTGTTTAGTCCCAAATAAATGCACAGAGGTCTACATTAATCATAAACTTGTTGGCCTAGTAGCTCAGGCTTCTTATTAATTAATTCTTACATCTTACATTAATCCATTATTCTTGTCAGTGTTAGCCATGTGGCTTGGTACCTTTTTTGGCAAGGCAGTCACATCTTGCATCCTCTGTGTCTGGGTGACAACTGCAGACTGAGTCTTTCCTCTTCCCAGAATTCTCATTGCCATGCCTCTACTTCCTTCCTGGTCGCTGTCGCCCCACCTATACTTCCTGCCTGGCTACTGACCAATCAGCATTTTATTAAAAATAATGCAAGTGACAGAATAAAAGACCATTGTCCCACAACAACTGTGTATTGATAAAATAATTATATGAATAAAAATATAGCTACAAATTATGATGAATATGAGTTTTCTTCTGAATAGAAACAGGCCTAAGGAGAACATAAGCCATAGTCTACAGCTTTTCTAAAGCCTCTATTCTCTAATGGCACTTTAGGCACTGAAGGAACGTAGTTGGATTCAGAATCAATAGCAATCAGGGTATCACATAAGAAGAAGTTGATGTGTGACACCAACTAATCTCTGAATACCATCATGGCTGAAGGAGGAAAAAGCCATTATTAATTTAGTAGCTTATCAGTGAAAGGTTCTAAGATGTGCAATGTGTTTCAACCACACTTTTCCCCTCTAGGTATAAGTTTTCAGCAGAATATAGTCATGGCTAGTGTTTTTTGATTACTTGTGTGCAGCTGTTCTTAGCAATATCTATATCATAGCTCATTTCATCCTCACAACAAATCTATGGGGCTAGTATGTCTGTTTTGATAGAAGGAAACTGGTCAATATCATGTCCCAAAAGTCCAAGCTAGTAGGTGGAAGACTCAACTTTGAAGTTGAGCAGCTTGACACAGCATGTGGAGAGAAGGGTACTGTATGTTACTTTATTTTCAGAGGTGGTTACTAAACTAGTGAAGGTGTATTTTGGGCCCGGATCCTGGGGTACTAGGAGAAAATATGCATCAATTTGTATTATCTTCTCTTTGCTTAATTATATATATATATATATATATATATATATATGTGTGTGTGTGTGTGTGTGTGTGTGTGTGTGTATAACTTATGTATGTATGTGTGTGTGTTTGTATAACTTATGTATGTGTGTATGTATGTATGTATGTGTGTGTGTGTATAGATTGATTCCCAGAACCCACAGTAAAAACACACATGCACATACACAAAGTCCAGGTACTTGCCAGTCAGTTTTTTAATAGTATGTTGCAATTTTCAATGATTAGTTACATGGATTTATGGTAACTAACTAAATTAACTAAATCAGCCTTAAAAACTTCATTTTAAAAATTTAGCCTGGTGTTGTGGGAATTCATTCCACCAATAGATTTGGGGTACCAGCTGTAGCCTCTTGTCTGTGAATGTGATCGATTATAAGGAAAGAGGGAGGTGTTCACTCTCTCTTGCTCTCATGCCGACTTAAAGGATAAGAGTGAAGCAGGTGGCTTGCTATTGGTGCTTTTGCCCCTTGGGCAGAAAACTGCAGCGGTGTCTAACCTGCTCTGTATCAGTGAGTGTTCACCCCTATTTTATATCTAAATAAATTTTTTCCAACCTCTCCCAGACTCCCATGGATCCTCGCTACTTGGTGTAGCACATCTTTAATCTAGTATGTGGAAGGCAGAAGCAGACTGACCTCTGAGTGCAGGGCCACCCTGGTCTACAAAGCAAGTTAAGGACTACACAAAGAATCCCTGTCTTGAAAACAAACAAACAAAAAATGTAAAAACTTGCTGGTTTGTGGTGGTCCGCCCTTTAATATCAGCACTCAGAAGGCAGAGGCTGGTGGACCTCTGTATGCTCAAGTCTGTCTGGTCCACAAAGAAAGTCCCAGTGAGACCCTGTCTCAAACAAACAAACAAACCAACCAAAATAAATATAGTGTAAAAATGTAAGCAAACTGTAATAAAATGGTAGCATAGGAAGCATAGGAAGTCAGTCAAATAATTAGGACTTAGGAAGATAGTTGGGAATACGTGTTTTAACTTACTATTGTTACAAATGAACAAATGATATTAAATGTTTGTTCTGTCTTGAAATATTTGTCCCTAAGATTATAAAGCCATTGTTTATGCTCTTACTGAGCTTTTAAAAACATAGAACAAAATATAGAGAACAGGAAGACACACGTCTTTAATTTCAAAGAAATGTAATTGGTGAAAGAAATTGGACATGAAAAGGCCCATTTTGTATGGTTCCATTTATAGGAAATGTTAATTTGGCAATGTCCATACAGACAGAACAAAAATTAATGGTTGCCAAAGGATGAGGGTGGGGGAAGTAGAGAGGGGCTGAAAGTGGGTCAAGGTTTCAGCACATTCTAGGGTAATGAAATGTTTTAGAAATAGTGGCAGTGGCTTCCAAACTCTGAGTGTACCAAAAACTAGTGAACTCTTTAACAGGGTAAAATTATTGATAAGTAGGTTATCTCAATAAATATTATTTTTTTCTGTTTTTTACAAAATAAAATCCGGCCTATTTTTAAATATAGTCTTTGAAACATCACAGAATTCTTTAAATGGTGGCTAAGAAAAGAAGTCTAGGATCTCCCTAACAATAGTGCTCCATTTTAAAGATACAAGTTGTAATGAAGTAGGTCAGGACTTGATGTTCATCAGGACTAATGGAAAGTTGGGAGAGAGTGCTTAATGTCATTTCAGGTTCATTCTGAGAGAGAGGGAGTAATCCAACTTCAGTTTGTATCACACACACACACACACACACACACACACACACACACACAGAAAGAGGGAGGGAGGAAGGGAGGGAAGGAGAGAAAGAGAAAAAATAAAAAATGTAAAAGTGTAGTAAAGAAAAAAAAATTTGAGACAGTATCTCATTTTGTAGCCTTGGCTGACCTAGGAGCTTGATAGAGATCTGCCTGCCTCTGCCTCCTGAGTGCTAAAGGCACATGTCACCATGCCTGGCTTCTACCTATTTCTTAATGGGTTAAGAAACCCATTAAACATCTACCATAGTGTAGATATTTTCACTTCCCTCATTTTCATAGGCTGTGAAGGGTAGTTGTAAAAGAGCTGTGTGTTGCCCAAAAGATGCAGTGTATTCATCGGTGTTTGTAATTAATGATAGCATTTCCCAGGCTTCTGAAACAGAGTGGTCACAAATTGTACTAGATTGGGGGAGCAGGGGTAAGACAGTGAGATGTTCTTCTTACTTTGCTGTTGAAAAGCATTTTCATTCGGTTTACAACCCCTAGGGCATTCTTAAGAGCCAGGGCTCTCCTGGGTGATTTTTAAACTCCCCTCATTTCCAAAACTGTGCTTGCGACAAGGCCAAGGAACTTTAATAAATGAGGACAGTGTGACTTATATCATGGGGACAGACTCCTCGTGAGGATCAGTTTAGTTCCAGTTATCTTGCGGTGTTTCTTTGCAAGAAACGTTCTGTGTGGTAACCACAGGTTATTGATACGAATAACTTCCTCTACAGTTGGGGTGGAAAAGAAAAATTGATAGTGGACAAATTAGACTCCAGCTGTGCCATGCTGGTCACTTACGTACTAACGTTCTTTTTGGTTATTTGTAGCTATTGAGCCGGTTGTTGAATAAGCTGTCTCATCCTCCAGACTTAGCAGAGGTTTTGGTTGTTATAAAGCAACTAGTTCCACCAAAGAGAAACTGCTGCCATGAACCAATAAAAAGGAGATGATTATATATACTACCTGTTATAGAGATGCTGACTTTTAAGACATAACCGTTTTAGCGAGTCACAATCAGACTTTGATTAAGAATATTCCTTTGGGTTAGGACTCTAGCTAAGGTGGTAGAGTACTTGCCTAGCATGCACAAGGCACTGACTTGGATCTCCAGCACTGCATGGTGACACATACCCATCATGCAAGTACTTTGGGAAAGAAAGGCAGGAAGATCAAGGAGTTTAAGGTGCGTTCGAGGCGAGTCTGGAATACAAAGCTATAAGACTGGCTGAAAAAACAAAAACAAAAACAAAAATCAAGGAACTGGAGAGATAGCTCAGCCAATAAAGTACTTGATGGGTAAACGTGAAGTGAGTCTGGGTTCCCAATATCCTTAAGAAAAGCTGAGCATTGTGGCATGTATCTGAAACCTCGGACCAGGGATCAGGGAGGTAGCAGAAACAGGTGATGTCTCAACTTGCTCTCAAGCCAGTCTCGTTGAGTGGCGAGCTCCAGGGTCAGCAGAAGAGTTGTATCAAAAAGTTAAGGTCAAGAGCTGTTGAGAAAGGCACTCAATGTTGACTTCTGACCTCTGTGTGCACACACATGTATGTTCACCTGCACACACGCATAGACAGAATATTTATTTCCAAACTAGAACTAGCATGATTTTAATATAAAAGTAGGGCTCAAGAATAATTTCAAACGAATGATTGTAATATTGTCTAAGACTGTCATAATTCAATGGGTTCATTAACTTCTTGATTTCATAATTTGCTAACCAATTTTATTGGAAATAAAGCAACGAGAAACAGTTATAATTCTGCAATCTTCGTTTTTAAATGAATGAAGCTTGTCTTCTGTGATTAGAAAAAGTAAGTGCTTTTTTTCTTTAGATTTTTCTGAAAATGGTGTATTGAATCATCTAATGATGATTGGGCTGTAATGAATGTTTGACGTTTGTTCACTGTAACAACAAAACCCAAGCAGAGTTTGTAATATTTCTTCTAAAATTGAAAACTCATTAGTTAGTGTTGCAAGTCACCTAACCAATTATCAAGCAAAATAAATACTTAATATGATATTATGTTCTTTATATAGGTTTTATTGAAAACTACAGCTGGAGATATTGATATAGAGTTATGGTCAAAAGAAGCTCCAAAGGCATGCAGAAATTTCGTTCAGCTTTGTTTGGAAGGTCAGTATTGCCTTCATTATCATTTTGAGGAGAAACCTGCCTTAGTTTACAGATAATGACAGTGTGTTGGACGTTCTGGCCTGCTCATGTAATTCCGGCACTTGGGAAGTTGATGTGGAAACATTTCTAGTTTCAGACTAGCCTGGGCAACACAGTGAGACTCTCTAAGTAAATAAAACCCTGGACGGATGAGTTCTTTTTAAAAAGCAAAGAGAATAAACTACAATGTGTTTTTCACATTGAGGTCTGATGTTGGCCACATGATGTTGAGCAGTGTATAAGGAAACAGACTGCGGGGATAGTTCAGCTTTCCTCCAGGTAAACTGTAAATTGTTATACTTTTAACAGACACAAATCATGCCTGATACTGATCTCCTCTGCTAATTGCCACTCACTCCATCTTTCCTTCTTTAAATATGAATATGCCGTGAGCTTACCTCTCATTCTGTGCTATTTTTTCCACTCTTGTTTTGTCTCTGTACAAATGACTGTTAGGTTCAGAACTCCATCTATTTCTTCCTGCTTGTGCCTAATTGATCTGATGGTGTAATGGTCCTTCTCTACTGGAAACTTCTATTAGCTACCACTAAACCAAATTTCAACTTCTTTCCCAGATGGCCTGCACTTTCGTCTCCATGACTGGAATTGCCTCCTATCTGGTCCTCCCTCTCATTTCTTTGTCTTCTCTCTGTGCACATGATATTTGAATTTTTAGGAACTTGGCTTCCTAGCTTTCCATCATTTTCCGTTCCACTAATCATGTGCCTTCAGCCAGTCATTCTCTATTTCCTCTTCTGCACATCCTTATACTAGCTTTCTTCTAGTTCTCTCTCTCTCTCTCTCTCTCTCGGTATGTTTCTCACCCTGTTTTCATTTAAGTACAACTGTGTTTTATTATTTTGTTCGCAGTCTGTTTTTCCACAAATCTTACAACCTGGCTTTCACCGGTTTGTTATCAATCGGAGTCATAACATGATGATTTTTCTTTGTAAGATACTTGGCAGAATTTTATATTCCCTTGAATATTTTTTATTCCTGGGTATTTGTGTATGCAGCTGTGCATCCCATGCACTCTTTACAGTTTCTGATTGGCTTCTAGAATGCATTATATATGATTTAAAATACCTCCAGTGGTGGCAAGTCAGTGTTTTCCAGTTATACTTGATTTTTAGACACAGTGTCAGAAAACAGTATTTTTTTGGAGAGAAACAAGGTATTTAGGAATCCACAGTATCCTGCTGTCTAATATAGACAAAGTTCTCCAAATAGAAATTAGATAAATATAACACTGCAGGGAGAATATTAAAGAAATAATAACAAAAGAATCCAATCCCACAGATGAGACAAAGGAAATATGTCTGCAAAGATCATCATTAATAATTGCTATGGCAGACAGGAAGGAAATCAAATCAGACAGGTAGTTTAGTTAGAAAGGCCTCGGATAACTGTCAACAAAGCTAAGAAACAAGAGGGACAGAGAAGCCTGACTTCTGGTAATAAGTTTAAAGAAGCCAAAAGCTCAAATTTTACAGGAGAGTGAAATTACAAAAACACTAGAAAGAATGAATGGTAAATTGCAACCCAGGACCAGGTGAATGAAGAAACAGAAAGTATCTGGATAGAATACGACATTGAAATAAACATGAGGTTCAGCCGGGTGCTGCCAAAGCTCACTTGCATCAAAAAAGAATTATTCTCCCATTTATTTATAAGAAGACCAGGAGATATAAGTAAAAGATGGAAAAATCATAGAACTAACCAGAGCAGTTTTCTTAATGAAACAGGCAAGAATTTAATGGGATTATTGTTGGGAAGGTTAACTAAAAACCTGAGAAGACTAATTTTTAAAAAAGATACTCCTGGCAAGAGTGGTGGCTCAGCAGTCAAGAGCACTGGCTGCTCTTCCAGAAGCCCTGAGTTCAATCCCAAGCACCTACATGGCAGCTCACAACTGTCTGTAACTTCACCTCCAGGAGATCCAATGCCCTCTCTGACCTCTAGGGTCACAAGACGTGAATGTAGTATATGGACATACATGCAGGCAAATCACACACACACACACACACACACACACTCCTTAAATGAGTAAATTAATGCAGAGAACTCCATTTAATCCTTTGAGTGTATGATTCAAAGTAGTTAGGATGTTTTTGGATCTTGTAATGCACCTTTCAATACAGCAACAATAGAAATGTATAGTTCTCAGAATTCAAAGAAAATGAATGAAAGCCTGGGAGGGAGAGAGGGAAGGAGCTCAGTCTCCCATGTGGCCCTCAATGAAGAAAGTTTTCTTGTTGAAAGATGGTCATATTCTGCAGAGCTCAATGATCTGTAATTATGATTTAATCTTGGACTTTAAGGTCTTTGCTGTATAGTTCGAAGTAACATCTAAATAAAAATAAGTATCAAAGTTGCCAGTCTAAAACATGGCATAAAACTGTTACAAAGAAGGAAAAGAAACAAAGCAAAAGGATACTAATTTTCAGTTTTCATAGGGAATGCCCTGTAACTCAGTGAGTGCCCGCTTCTTCTGTCTTATCTAAGTGAACTTTTTTGTTTTTAATATTCTAGTTCCAGAGAATAAATTCTATGGGAGACCATATTTCATCTCTGCTGCCTATTTATGTCTAGAAATATATTTATAATATAGTAATATATTTAAATTTTATTAATTCTATATTGATTTCCTGAAAATCAGTTAACAAAATAAATGACTATTCAGTTGAACTAAAACATATAATGCTATTTGTTTCATTTATTGAACATTTTATTTGAGGACAGTGCTGGAACTATGATCAGTTAGTAACTTTAGTGTCTGTGGGTTTGTACATTTTTGTGTATTAATAAGTTAATTTTCTATTAGGAGAAGAGGAAGAGGCAAGAAATGAGCTATTCTTCTCTACCAAGGCTTCTCAGCCTCAGCACGGTTGGCATTTGGGATGGATACAAGCTTTTGAGTTTTAGGATGCTTATCCGTATTCTTGCCGTCTTGTGTTTCAGTAGTACTCCCCAGTTGTGATAACCCAAAATATTTTAAAATGTTGATAAATTTCCCATGGGATGCAGAATTGCAGCTCCCCCCTCTCCCCAGGTGAGAGCCGTTGATGTGTATTAAGTTTCCTTTTCTCACAGTAATCCAAACTGTGAGGAAATTCTGGAGAGAAAACAAATCTAAAGCACCATTGTTTCTGTGGAGACATACAGAATTTTGAAGATTGAATGTTTTATAAGAAGTAGTGGGGAAGGGCTTTGCTCTAAAAGTGTACTTAGCATTCTGGAAATTAAATCTGTGGCTCTGTTTGTATATTAACTATGATAACAAAATCATGCTGAGTTTTAGAAATTAATATATTAATTGTTTTTCAGCCTACTATGACAACACCATTTTTCATAGAGTTGTACCTGGTTTCATAGTCCAAGGTGGAGATCCTACAGGCACCGGAACTGGAGGAGAGTCTATCTATGGAGCCCCATTTAAGGTCAGATTAATTTACTAATTTCTAGGTCAGCTTGGAATGCTTCTCCAGAAGTGAAGTGTTTCTCAAGAAAAACATCTTGTATAGTATACAAAATCATTGGCATTAGAGTTATTCAGAGATAAGAACAAATGTTATCTATCAAGCATTTTTCTGATTTATTTTATGGCAAATTTTTGTCCTAGATTAAATTAAGGTAGAACTAAAAGTTGCAATGAGAGAAAGAGAGAGAGAGAGAGAAAAGCAGTGTTCTGAAAGAAGTCCATATGGAGTGTTTCCTGATGTTTTACTGTGTCTGATCTCAGCAGCCAATTTTTAGAACATTGCATGTGCTATTTTAGATTAAAATAATTTTATTTAAATGTTATATGGAATTTTCAAGTAGTCTGCTTGGGCCGCTACAACAATCTGTGGAGGGTAAATGAGAATTTCTTTCTTTCAGTTGTGGAGGCTAGGAATTTCAAGTCGTAGTGTCTGACAGTCCCTTTTCCTACCTTGAAGAGGTAGTGGGAAGAAGAATCCAGGCCCAGTGTCTTGATCTTTTTTTTATAAGGACACAAACCCTATTGGATTAGAACAAGATCCTAACCCTTATGACTTTTTCTTACTTTTTCACATTTATAACCTTTACTGCCTTGTCAGAGCCACAAATATAGCTGCACCAAGGATTCAGACTTCAATATAAAGCTTTTGAGGAACCAGTCTCCCACACTTGAGCTTACTATATATTATGTAGTTACTGTCCACAAAAACAACTCTAGCACAAAGCCATGCATGGTAGACAGACAGAAAGTGAGCAAAAGGAAGAGCCAAAGATATTAACAAGGAAAAAGACATTTTAATCAAAAATGGGTACATAATTTCTTATTTTAAATTTGTATTAGATTCATTGTTTTTATGCCTGTATGTTATATGTTCACCATGCTCTGCTTTCTGGCAGTAGAGGTCAGAAGAGAGCATTGGATCCCTGGGACTGGAGTTGTGGATGACTGTGAACCACCATGTGGGTGCTGGTAACTGAACCCAGGTCCTCTGTAAGAGCAACAAGTGCTCTTAACTACCTGCTGAGCCGTTCCTCTAGTCCTGGCCTGTGATTTCTTGACTGCCAGCATAAACTTAAGAAGGAAAAGAGTTAGTTTATTTAAGAAATTAGGAACAATAATGGGCTCAAATATAGCAAAAATTATATTTGTCATTAGTCTAATTATAACAATGTTAGATTCTTTGGGTGAGTATCTGTCAGTGGTTCTTAAAATTGGGAGACTTTTGGAAAAAAAACTTCATATTTATTCTAGTGGGAAGGAGTTTTAGAGATTCCTTTCATCTTTTCCTAGGTCAGTGTGATTTTTTTTTTTATTGTTTCAAAGTTTCTATCAAGGGCCCTGCACTGTTGTCTTGGCTGGAGTTACAATAAGTAGTACAGACTGGCCTTTAACTTGTACCTGAGCCTTCTGAGTGCTAGGGTTGCTGGCATGTAGCACAGTGCCTCATCACAGCGTGATTGTGATTATTGAGAAAAATAGCAAAACTTCTTCTTCTTTTTTTTTTTTTAGCTTTGTTTTCCAGATGATAGTTACCCTGGAAAGTAGGTCATAGTATTTAAATAATCTCAACTGTCACTGTTAATCATGTCTCATAATTTTAGGACCTCGACTTTATAGGAAATACTCTTGTGTTCTGTTAATCCCATTTGCTTATCCTAAATTCTGTTGGCATTTCCTTTCTGAGTTTTTTCTTTGTTATTTTAAAATAACAATTAACTTTGTTAACTTCTTTCAGCTAGATAGATCATTTTAAACATAGTGTTTTAGTTAAGGTCACTATTGCTCTGATAAAATACCATGACCAAAAACAACTAGGGGAGGAAAGGGTTTATTTCAATTTCAGTTTCATATAATAGCCCATTATCAAAAGCAGTAAGGTGAGGAACTCACGCAGGGACAGGAACCTGGAGGCAGGGTGATGCAGAGGCCATGGAGAGGTGCTGCTTACTGACTTGTTCCTCAAGGTTTGCTCAGCTGTCTGTCTGTCTTCCTTTCTGTCTGTCTGCCTGTCTTTTTGTTTTCCGAGATAGAGTTCCTCTGTGTAACAGCCCTAGCTGTCCTGGAACCAGGCTGACCCTGAACTCACAGAGGTCGCCAGCCTCTACCTCCTGAGTGCTCAGTGCTGGAATTAAAGGTGTGTGCCACCACACCCAGGATCACCAGCCCAGGGATGGCACCACCCACAGCGGGCTCGGCTTCTACCATCAATCACCTACCAAGAAAATGCTGTACAGCCTAATCTTATGGGAGTATTTTCTTAATTGAGGTTTCCTTCTCTCAGATGACTTTAGTTTGTGTCAAATTGACAGAAAACTGTCCAGGACACATACATGGTATAGAAATACCGCAGATTCTGGGGATTTAAACAGCAGGAGTGTTTTACCCACAGTCCCTCTGAAAGCTGATCAGTCGGAGGTCAGGGTGTTTGGCTCTCTGGGTTCCTGGTGGGATGTACTAGAGTTTAGATTTTAAGAATAATGTATTAAAGAAAAGTAGCCTCTAATGCTTGAAAAGCCCTGATTATAGAAATGGTGTCATAGATGATCCCAGTGTAGGTCTTGGCGGGGGGGTTCTCAGTATCTCTCAGAGCAAGGAAAGCCTCCAAGGAACAGTGGTCCTGCACTGTTGCAGTCTGCCACCCTGAGAAAAGTCAATTTAGGATGTGTGAGGACTTCTAAAAGCACAGTGAAATCATACTGACACACTCTTGGTGGAGTCTGAATCTCAGAACCAGAAGAAAGCCACAGCTTCATGGCCCGTGGTATAAGGTGGAAAGGCTTCACAGTGCTCTGGAGAAAGGTTTTTTGAGTAGGGCAGTGAGAATTAGACCCCGACTTTCTTTGAGCTCCCCTCCTATGTGTGTATGTAGACATCCATAAAATAGCTATGAGGCTGACTATATTTAGAAGATACAAGCTGCTGAGTTCAGGTTGAAGAACAGTGAACAGATAGTAAATTTGGATTTGATTGTACTTCAAAATCAGTTAAATAAAGCTTCAGCATTTTTGATTAGAAATTGTCTGAGCGTCACTGGTCTGCGGCATAGCTGATTGAATATGAAGGGTCTGATGACTGAGGAGATCACTAAATCTTTCATTCTTGCAGGATGAATTTCACTCGCGGTTGCGTTTTAATAGGAGAGGGCTGGTTGCCATGGCAAACGCTGGTCCACATGATAATGGCAGCCAGTTTTTCTTTACTCTGGGTCGAGCAGATGAGCTTAACAATAAGCACACCATCTTTGGAAAGGTTAGTGTCTATATATGTTAAGTATATGGTTTGGTTTTGGTTTTATGTTTTTCTTTAAACTTCTGTGATACATACAATTGACTTTATAATGAGTGCCTTCAAAAATGTTATAGATAGTTACTTACTGTTTTTTAAAAATGATGGTGTATGTTCCTATTATGATGAGCTGCAAGGGCTAACTGAACTTTGGGTGCTTCAAGTCAGTCATTTGTCATGGCCTACATGCGTTCTTTGTCAAAGTGGTGACATTAGCTACTTAAGGCCACTTAGCCAGTGTTGTTTCTACTTTTAAAGAGACACTTACCCAAAACTATTTTATAGATTAAAGCTACCAATTGTGGATTTCCTTAAAATTAAAGTGGAAGTTGTATTAGTATTTATAATTTTACTGAAAATTTTACTTTGAACAGTATTGATTTAATCCTCCTGACATTTAACAACAAATGAGATGATCTTCCCATAGATTTTCAACAGTTCTCTATAAAGAGGGATCCTGAAGGCATCACTCACTCATCCTCTTCCCTTCTCATCCGAATGTTCCTGTAGTTAATCCTTAGACATAGGAAACATTAATAGCTTTTTAGCCCCCTCTGCTGGCTCAGTAAGAATTGCTTCCTTCCATCCTGGGCAAAAGTGGGTTTTGACTCTATAAGAAGGGTAACAATTCAGTACAGTTGAACAACCAAACCTTTGAATTCAAGTCATATCTAAACCATAAAGTGTAACATTGATGCTTATTTCTTAAGGACATGAGTCAAGAAATATGTACTGTCATGTTCCTTTGATGCATTCCTAATCCAGGTTTTTCTGGCAATCATGAACTTTTCCTACCTTTAACTTTTTTTTTATCAGCAAGATAAGACTTAAGTTTCTATCTTGTACTATGTTTTACAATTGCTGCTCTATAACCCAGCGTGAGAGAGCATACAGCACAGCAGCCTACATAGAGAGGCTCCCACTGTCGGATCTGTACCTTCTTTGAGCCTCTGTCAAAGAAGGTAATATTACTTCTCATTTTAGGGTATTTGTGTAGATTCAATTAGGCAATAATCTGCAAAGTGTTTATCATACTGTTAATGCTTAAGCTGCTTTAAGTTCATGCTTGTTTGTAATATTTGAGTGAACTGTCATTTAGTAAGAAGGTTGACATTGTGTGTTTATTTTTAGTTACTGATGTTAGTATACACTGGAAACATATAAGGGCTTATTAAGAGACTGAGCCCATCTGTTAACAATTACCAATTAGCATTGTTAATTGTACATACAGTAAAAATATAAATATTCTCTTTTATTATTTAAAAGCACTTTTTCAGAAGGCTACTATTTAAAGTATTTTCAAAATTCCTCTATTTATTAAAAAATTGAATAAAGATGTTTGTGGCCCTATGTTTTGTTGGTAGGTCACAGGGGACACAGTATACAACATGCTACGCCTGACAGAAGTGGACATCGATGATGAAGAAAGGCCCCGCAATCCACATAGAATCAAAAGCTGTGAGGTAGGAACACGGCTGCTAGGTGCCATTTAAGAGATACGTTTAAACCATTAGATGAGAACTTTATATGAGACACTATATATAAGAACAATTTCTGATATGTATATATTTAAAGACTTTGGATTCTGATATGAAACTTTAGGTGATAATATAAAGAATGAAAGCTCAACCCATAATGAAAAGTTAAAGGAATTAGGGTTCTTTGCTCAAAGAAGTGGATTTTAGTTGAATTAAGTTGCTCTTTATTGAGGAAGTGAGGTAATCCTTAAGAGCATTTGATATGGAGTCCAAATGTCTGAGTTGGTTCCTTATGTTTTTCTTTCTGTGAAACAGTTATAGGATAAAGTATCTTTTACTTGAAAAGAGCATAATGTTTTGGGGTGATCAATGAGGCCGTGTGACTGGAAGTGCACTGTGTACCCTGTGTACCGCTACACTAATAAAATTTATGTAGGGAAGATTTAGACAGCAGTCAGTACACTTAATATTGTTTTTCATTTTGTTGTAAAATTTAAAAACTGGAATAACATCTTCAAAATGCTTCTTTTCATAGGTTTTGTTTAATCCTTTTGATGACATCATTCCAAGAGAAATTAAAAGGCCCACAAAAGAGAAACCAGAGGAAGAAATAAAGAAATTGAAACCCAAAGGCACAAAGTAATCATAGTAGAAAGAATTTTCTTCAACTTTAATAGTGACACTATTTTCTTAATTTGTTTTTGTAATCATTATTTACTAAAAAAGGAAATGTCATTGTGAATCAGAGCTAACAGAATTACAAGAGAGGGAGAGAGGGAGGGAGGGAGGAAGGGAGGGAGAGAGAATGTGTGTTTAAATTGCATTTCTTACATGCAATGACATTATTTAACTTAAACTAGAAATGTATCATCACAATAGCCATTTAACATGTGTTAATAAATACTTAGTATTCACTATATTTATATTGCTGAGTTATTTAGAAATATTTGCTAGTTTGTAAGTTACTCTATCCTTAGTATAAAGAATTTGGGGAGGGAAGAACACTATAAAGAATATTTTTAGTGTGTGTTACAGGATTGCATGCGCTATGTAATTACTTTACTGGTATTCAAAATAATCTTTTTATAAATATTTTTGATCAAAACCATTCTATTATTCTGTTTTCTTAAAAATAGCAATTTATTTTTTAATAAAGTTAGTTTATGCCAATATTGTTTATATTACTTTTTTCTATTTCATTAAAAATAATACAGTTAGATTTCAACTTACTAAATTGTAGCATCAAATTTATCAGTATTATATTTAGACAATTCTCTGTATGGGCCTGCAACACCTGGTTCTTATGAAAAGTTTATTAATCTCTGAACTTTGCTCGTCTCATGGCAAATATAGTGGAGGTTATGTTAAGCACAACAAAACAACCTGGTTGTTTTGAAGGTTAACTGAGAGCAGATGTATACAAACACCCTGAAGTATAGGTAATCAGTGCATACTGGCTTCCCACAAAGCATATACACTAAACTGTGTTAGCACATTGCCAAATATGAGCCAGGCACTTTAACCAACAGTAGATTTTGTCTTATGGAAAAATCACTTTTTATAGCGTTGTATATTTGATTTTCTTTGAGCCTACCATTGACTTCTTACTCCAGTTCATGCTGCTGGAAGGTCATTGTCACCGTGTTAGGATACAGTGTTTCAGTATTACCATTTCACTGCTGACAAGTCTGAGTTCTTTGTGTGCTGTTATCTTGTCTTCCTTCAGAACAGTGAATGAAAACATCCCTGTCATTCAGAGCAAGAGATGATGTGTCATCATTGCTTGCATGTAGATGTAAAAAAATAACTCCATTGCTACCAAATGTTTTACTTTTTCCAAAACTCCAGAGAGTGCTTTAATAACTGACAGTTCATTTTATCCGAATTTTTGTTGTTTAATTTGAAAGACCTGAGATATTTTCTACCCATCAACTTTCTGTGTTTCTTAGTTTCGAAACATTAAGATATATCTGTCAGGTATTAAAACAGTGCTCTCAGTGTTCCTTCTAGCTTTGATAACTATCAGAAGCTTACTTCTGACCTATATGACTGAGTGTACTACGGTAATACCTGGGGGGAATCTGTGGTAATTAGTTGAGGGTACTTGGTGAAATGTTAGTGGTCTAAGGCCAAACCCTTTGCTCACAATTATAGGTGCTGAACACTCCCGCTGAAGACAAGTGAAACTGTCCAAATAAAATGTTTTGCTTGAAAATGGGATATTTATGAGTTTCATCTAACTTTTCTCCTGAATTTCCTTTTCTTTCTGTTTTGATAGAAACTTTAGTTTACTTTCTTTTGGAGAAGAAGCTGAGGAGGAAGAGGAGGAAGTGAACCGAGTCAGTCAGGTGGGCTCCCACTTGCCCTTTGCTTTGCATTTTTCTATCTCCTGCTCTGCCTGGAGCAGCACAGCTGAATTCACTTACACAGTAAGCGTGCATCATATTGCTGTGTAGAGTCATTCATACAGATTCTGAGTTGCCTTGCTCTCACAGAAACATTGTTCATATTTATTTAATTTATTCTTGATTTTTTTGTCAGTTGAAACCAGTTTAAAGTATTTTGAATGGTTCAGTTTTTTGATTCAGATTTTAGTTGCTATTTGTTTTTTATTTTGCTATATGGCAATGATTATCATTATTATAACAATCAGTGACTCAGTTGCTTAATATTCATTTTAATGTTATTTCCATATATTGTGTTTGCGTCATTAATTCTCAACTAATTTCTGTCACACCCTTTTTAGATAGATGTTGTTGTGAACCTTCTATAAATACTTAGATTTATTCATAAGTGAAACAAAGTTCACAATAATACCTGTGGATTATAATTGTAATTGTTCAAAGTCACATACCTAGTAAGATGCTACAGTGGGAATTGACCTCTGTATGTGGCTTTCTTCAGTTTTAGTTTCTTCACAAATCATGGAACATCTACAGTATTTTGCATGTTTTTGGAGCAGGTTGTGATATTTGTACCCAAAGAAAATCACCTCCAGAGACTTTTGGTTCCAAATGTTTTGCTTTGTGTTTCTTTCTTGGAAGCAAGTGAGCACTGAGACCTGAGAATTAGATCTAGCATCTTTAGTAATAATCAGGCTTCATAACCCAGTTCTGCTGTGTTTGGTTATGATGATTTCCTGTTTCTCACCATTGCTCCCAGTAAGACAGATGGAAAAACACACCATGGTTGTGCTTGTCTTCTTTATCCTGTGCTTTCATCATTCATGGGCATGGCTCAGGAAGGGTCATGCTGAGCACAGAGCAAACACTTGTGCAACAGATCTTTCTGGAGAGATACTACACACATCTACTCACCCCAGATTGGGAGCTCACAACAGACCAAATTGTAGATACCACCGAAGTCCATCTTGGTGAACCAATGAGTTTTATTGGGGTTACTTCTGGGTGAACGGGTACTTATAGAAGCAGAAATAACTCAGACAGCTACATGGCCAAGCCCATCTCAACATGGATGACAGCTCACAAAGCTGGGAACAGAACATGCTCACAGTCAGCAGGCAGCTCAACAGAGTGTCCTTCCAAGTGGCTCAGTTAACCTTAAGCTCTTCCAAACAACTTGGGTATTTTTTGCTTGTCCCAGATGGCTAGTCTGGTTTGAGAGTCTTATTTGAAATTTGGCTCATCTGAGAGTGATTCTCAGTGGTCTTTATTGTTTTCCTTTGGGTGGTAGGGGCCTAGTCAATCTGGTTGGTTTCAGACACTTCTGAAGCTATTTTGAGTTGTTTACCTTCTGACTTAAGAAAATTCACTGCAGGAAGGTGTGCTTCAGTATCAGAGGAAGCTGATACTTTATGCTTACATTAAAACCTTATTAAAATGGACATGTTGAAAAGATAAAATGTCCCTATTTTTTACTTGTTTTTTTATTGTATCAATTTTAGTAATATGAGATCAGTTATTACTTACCTATAACCAGCACACTAGATTCTCAGGGATAGACTGAATATTTCTTTTGCCTTTCTACCTTTATTCTGATTCACTTCAAGAAATGTTTGTATAGTAGATTCCAAAGGTGAATTCATTTTTTTTTCAAAGTTTATTAAATTATGAAAGTTTCCATTTCCGCCCCTCCTCCCAACACCCTCCCACTCCCCCCCTCCCCCTCCTCCTCCCTCTCCATCCCTAAGAGCAGTCAGGGCTTCCAGCCCTGTGGGAAGTTCAAGTTCCTCCCCCCTCCCTCCAGGTCCAGGAAGGTGAGTATCCAAACAGACTGGATCCCAAAAATCCAGTATATGCAGAGGAAACAAGTCCCAGTGTCATTGTCAGTGACTTTTCAGAAAGGCTCCAGGCCAGCCACATTTAGAGAACCCGGCCACATTCAGAAAATCTGGTTGGATCACATGCTCGTTCAGTCCCAGTCCAACTGGCCTTGGTGAACTCTCATTAGATCAGTCCCCTTGTATCAGTGGGTGATCGCACCCCTCGCGGTCCTGAGTTTTTTTTCATGTTCTTCCTCCTTCTGTCCCTCATTTGGACCATGGGGGGCTCAGTCCGGTGCTCCAATGTGGGTCTCCGTCTGTATCGCCATCCATCGTCAGATGAAGGATCTACGGTGATAAGCAAAATCTTCATCAGTATGGTTATAGGCCAAGGCCGGTTCAGGCACCCTCTCCTCTGTCTAGAGAACAGTCTGGGGATCTCTCCTTGGACCTGGGATCCCATTTATAATCAAGTCTCTTGTAAACCCTAAAATGACTCCCTTAGTTGAGATATATTCTTCCCTGATCCCATATCCATCCTTCCTCCCTCCCCCCTTCTCAGTCCCCCGAGTTTTAGGTGAATTCATTTTTAAATGAAGGTTTTTCTGTTACAAACATCAAGAATTACTCTGCCAACTTGGTGTTGGAGTTATCTTCTGTAGATGCCAGTGATTAGTGTTGCATTGTTGGTGATTCAAATTGTTGGTACCTCATCAGAATGAGAGGTACAGGATGCTATATGCCATGATTCTGGGTGTTTATTTGTGAGAAAACAAAACCATATTGGCTAGATCTGGGAATTACCGGTTTTCTTTGTTTGATCTTATCTAAAGATGTCAAATTCTGCAGGCATAGTATAGCATATCTATAATCCTAGCACATGAAAGGCAGAGGCAGGAGGATTTCAAGTTTGAGGCCAACCTGAGCTTTATAATCCTGTCACAAGACAAGATGTCAAGTTTCCCTACGTAAGTGTGCCTTCCTTACGGTGTTCCAAACCCCACTTTCTTTTTTTCTGGTATATTCGCTACATTTCTTCTGTTATTCTTCTTGTCTACTTAAAGAGTTCGCTCCAGGGAGGGAAGTGGGAGGAGGGAATGAAGTGGAAATTTTGATTGGTATTATTTATAAAGTAATAAAAATATTACCAGAAAAAAAAGCATTCGTTCCACAGCCACCTCATCACTGCCTCTTTTCCTTGTCACTGAAGTCCTGAGGTGAACTAGAAATAATGCCTCTCTGTGACTGTTTACCCGTCGTCAGAGTACAGATGACACCGTGAGATAATCATGTATTTCTTCTGTTTAGGAAATGTTGATTTTATGTAACCCTTTAACAGTTATACTGTGTAGCCACTATTCCTGTTGTGTAGCTGTCAATACTCAGGGGACTTCTAATCAGAAGGTAGTGAGGGGAGAACTGGGGATACAGGTTCATAGCTTCTCAGACCTCTAGGATGATTGTGAGAGCCATCTCTCTAGCCCCTAGTGCATGGTGTTAAGCTTTCATTGAAGAAGTTTATTAAATCAAACCTTTTTTTTTCTTTTGTTATAATTTGTTATTACCCTTCCATATCTCTGGCCTTGGCTGCTGCCCTATCTACCCATGGGTCTGCCGTCCTCTTCCTCTTTTCCTTCTATTCATGACTACCAGAGGCACCTTCGAGAAGCATAATCTTTCTACAGCTATGGCTTCGTTGACTCCACCAACCCTTCTTCCTAAACATTATTTCAGATTCAATCACTTGAGGTAATCTTTTTTCTTCTCAGATCCATGGAGTCTGAACTTTTTAACAAGAAGCTTGGTAAAACTATCACCAATGAATTCCCCTGCAGTTCATAGCAGAGAAATATCAGAATCACCACATGGGAACTCTATGTAGGTCACTGCAGTTTTTCCTGCTTGAAGCGTCCTGGTCCACATCTAGGACCTAGATACTAGGATATATTTGTTTTCAATGCTCAAAATGCCATCTTTTCTAAATGGTTTTTCCAGTGTTGTAGATCTGTTCTGGGTCTCACCTAATGTCCGCTATTCATGTTATGCTGCATTTCATTGCAAAGCAGCCTTTTTGCTTTATTATAAAGAAAGGTTGTGATCGTATTCTCGGTAGAGCATTCCAGTACTGCACTCTATACTCTTTGCTTAATGGCCGAGTACAGTTCTGGGCTATGAGCTCCTTGAAGGCAGATTCTGTGCATCTCTGAATCAACAGTAGATTCAGTGTCGTTGGATTCACTAGATTCGATGTCACTGGGATCATACAAATTCATTGAGACTCACTTTCCCCTGACACTATGTGATCTTTTAGGTTTTCTTTGTGTAACATAAAAGTAAGTTATACTTGCTAGGTTGTGAGTAAAGGTACTTTGATACATTAAACACTCCTGAAAGGCACCATTGAAGGTTGTGTCTTTATTAAATAGAACAGTATCTCTTATGCTATGATTGGTATTTTATTCTTGGTCTTAAAAAGCTGAATGATTTGTAATGTGATCACAGTTACTATATAGAAGCTGCTACTCTCTTGTCCAAGCATATGGAGAGCTGTTGAGGCACCGTATCATGGGCTGGACAGAACTGGCCAGTCAGTGTCTTTCCTAAGAAGCAGCCTGAGCAAGCTCAGGGTACACGAGGCTCCTCCACCTAGTGACTAGCAGCTTCTTCCAGCCCATTTATCTGTTTCCATCTGCCATGCAATAGACAAGTGGGTTGTTAGATCTGAGAAAACAAAACAACAAAAGCAGTTTGAAATTCACAGACTTAAAGGACAGAAGTTGCTCTAAGATCTGGATAAAAGCCAAATCTAATTTTGTTTGTGTTTATTTAGTTCATGTGTTGTTCAGACCATGAGCTTGTTTCAAATGGATTTTCCTTTTTTGGTAAAATGATACCTTGATAAGAAAAAGGAATAGACGTGGTTTTCAAATTTAGTCTCATCTCTAAGTGTTGAAATAACTAGAGCCAAAGCCAAGTGAATCCTTTAGTGACAGAACGATTTGAAGTTTCAGTGCTTGCATGAAATTAAATATTTCTAAAAGGCTTAAAAGTAATTGCTCCATTATTCACTTGCTTATCAGGTTTCTTTTTTCAGTGACTCCTCAGTGGTAAGTGCTATTCCAGAGCTAGATTGCAAGTTAGTAATTGTTACGGTCTCAACTGAGGCATTACTGTATGTGAATGAAGAAACCCGAGTCCCCTCTGGTTTGTGGATTATCAGTGTGAGGTTACACACACTCTTTCACCTCACTGCTTTATGCATGACAAGGTGTCTCTCCCACGTGGATTAGCTTTTCTTTATATGCTTCAGTATCTATGTACTACCTGATGAAAACCTCTTTGAAACCATAGGATTTTATAGCTCCAAGGGATCTAGTCCAACTTCCTTTCTTTATAGCGGAGGAAACTGAGACCCTGGCTAAGTGACTTACCAGACTCACCTGTTTCCTTTTGGATAGGATTGCATGATAGAAGGATGCCGTAATAACCATATCTCATGCTCAGAGAAGCACTCTGTTGACTTTCTCATGGTGTCACTATGAGCACGTGAAGAAATCTAATCTGGGAGATAACACTGTTGGATGGATGCTAGCTAACTGAGTACTTTTGTCCAGAAGGTGCTGTCTTGTCAATCTGTGCCTGATATTTTTTCTTTCTTTCTTCTTTTTTTTTTAAACTCTTAAGTTGAAATGTAATATCAGTATTTGTAAATTCTGTATGTTAGTACGGTAAGTCCGAAATATGTAGGGCAAGACAGAATAGTTGATTTTTCTTAAACTGGAGCCTGATACTCAGGCATGTTTTTTTTTTAATGTCATTTTTCATTCTAGGAATTCTTATATACAGTTGCTCTTAAGGCCTTCAGTTGCTTAGATGAGGGCCACTCACATTATGGAAGATAATCCCAAAGGCTGCTGGTCTAAGTTAATTACATCTACCCAAAATTCAGCATCTAGGCCAGTGTTGCCCGTAATACTGGGCATCATGGGCTGGAGAGGTCGCCATGTGCATGAATCATACACAGAGTCAGAGCCCAGAGACCAGTGTTGTCCCTCTGTCAACATGCCTTCTAGCTCTTTCTGCCTTAATCTTCCTTCCTGTAGTCTGTTTTGCTGCTGTGCTGTGTTTTTTTTTTTTTTTTCTGTTTTGTTGCTTCTTTATTTTTCAGGTCCATCCCACTCGCTGTTCATTTTTAGATATGCTAGCAGTCAGTTTTGATTTTCTTGTGAAGTTGAGGCTTCTTTTGCGGAGTTTGCTAAGTATATTTAGTCTTGTTTTCAACATTTGAACCCTTTAGCCAAATGATGACCTTAAAATAGGTCATTCAGGAAGAGTTACCCTTAAAGAGAGAGTCAGACTTCTGTTCCAGTTTCTGAGACTCTTCTAAGTTTTTCCATTCTTCCTAGTTTCTTTCTCTGCTTTGGTAGTTCACTGCAGTGGGAGTGGGTTTGTGTTTAAAATCTGCTTTTGATCCTCTACCTCCATGCTAACCCAGTTTAGAAGTTAGTTAAAATCTAAAGTGGTAATGATTATTCAACTTAATTTATGAGTTCTTCCTGGTTTTAGGGCTTACTTTAGAAATTGTGAAACAAGTTTATTCTTTTTTCTTTAAGCTCTTTAAAATGAATTTTCCTTTAATGGCTCAACAAGAATTTTTCTTTTTCCTTTTCTCTTTCTCTTTCTTTTGTGTTCATTTCAGACACAGGGTCTTGCCCAGTAGACCTGGCTAGTCTCAAATATGCAATCTTCCTGTTTTAGTCTCCTAAAGGTTGGGATTACAGCATGCAACACTGTACTTGGGAAGAACTTTCTTTTTAAAATAGTAATTATTTAAATTGGCAAACAAAATTATATATATTGTATATAACATAACGTTTTAAAATATGTATATAGAGTAGGATGTCTGAGTTGAGCTAATTCACATATACCCATTTCACATACCACATACATGTTACAGTAAGAACATTTAAAATCTTTCTGTGGGGTTGGAGAGATGGCTCTGTGGTTAAAAGCTTTTGTTCAGAGGACTCAGGTTTGGTTCCCAGCACCCACGTGGCAATTCAGAATTGCCTATAGCTCTAGTTGCAGGTGATCCATTCTGACCTTGAGGTCACCAGGCATGAAGGTGCTGCACATACATACAAACAAGCAAGACACTCATACATATAAAATAAATAATTAAAAAACAAATACAAATAAAATCTGTGATTTTTCAGGAATGCAAATTAACATTACAAATTTTGTGCATGCATTTAGTTTTCTTTTGGGAAATAGATAAGGCTGCTATTTAATTTTGTAGCTAAGTGTTCTGAGATCTTAGAAAGTTTATTGCTTTTGCAATTATAAGTTTTGAGCTAAAAAGTATATGATTGCGGGATATTAGATTTTGAAATTCATTTGATCAGATTGTCATCTTTTGCTATTGTTACTATTTTGAGATAGGGCCTCAAGGTGTTGCCTCAGTGAGCCTTTACCTCCAGGGCCTCAGCCACCCTGCTGCTCAGCATGAGTAGCTATGACTGAACCCGGGTGGGTGTCACTTTGGGCAGCACCTGTGGTATTGTTCCACATCTTTTGTGCCATGTTCCCTTCTGTTTGTGAGCAACTTTTCCAATCTTCATAGTTAGACAAAGGCATTAATGAGTAATTAGTTGAACTATTGCCCTTTCATTAAGAACTTTAAAAGAGGCTATGGAATTGAAGTTATTTCAGAAGTGGGCTTGAGTTGCCGACGTGAAGTTTGGTTTTCGCTGAATTACAGGAAGTGAGATATATCCCAAATAAAAATGTTTTCTTGGCTTTATACTGATACATCTGCAGAGCAATGAAGATGCATGATCAGATTCTTCTAAAACTGTTGTCTAGTAAGGCAAATTAAAAGAGATGATTCAGGAAAATCAAAACAGCTAAAGATGCCATAGTATTCAGAAAAACCCAGACTTTAAACTCTTTAAAGTTAGATTGTAGTTATGGTTATTGATGATTTTCAAAACCCTGGGTGATGATATATTATGTCCTTAACTAAAATGTGCTTCTGTGCTCAGGATGTAGCTTCAGAGAGCACTTGGCTAAGTCCATATGAGGACCTGGGTAAATCCCCAGAACTGACACCTCCACCCTAAGGAGCAGAGGGGATTCTGTCGTCCTAATGAGTCTTCAGACAGAGGTAGTAGTCTGGGCACTCGCCCCCTCCCCCATCCATCCCTATAATCTGAAAGACAAGAATGTTGTGTTCTACAGCCACAGGCACTGCCATCTACTCGCTTCTCTTTGCACCGCCCTTGCTGCATTGCTATATAAGATGGGGGTTGAAGCTTGAGTCAGTGTTTGAAGCACTGCAGGGAACAGCGCCTTGAGCTGTGTGTCTTTGGAAGATTTGTAAAACCTGGATGCTCTGCACGTGTATATCGATATTTTTAGCAATGAAGCACAGGTCAGGACTGCAAAATAATAATAATAAAAAAGCCTTAAGCTATATGTTTATTTTACTTGATTTGATCTTCAAAGACCAGAGAATCACATGTTAATACAGAAATATTTAAATCTTAATTATTTGTCATGGAAGCATATTTTTAAAGATATATACCCATCTTAAAGTAGTACATCAAACTTAGGGCCAGTTCACAAATTAACCAGTGAAACAGAAGGCCAATTTAGAATGTTCCCATTATGCAATAGGGAAATATGTAGGCTAGGACTCATAGTGCTTGCTTGGTGTCTATGAGGACCTAAACGACATAGAAATAGATCCATTTAGACTCTTGGTTTATTAATTTAAATCCTGATTCTCTTCCACTGACTGGCTCTGTGGCTCTTGATTAATAGCTTAATAACATCAAACTGTTAAATGTGGCTATGTGCTACATCGTGTATTTCCATTAGAGAGGGAGAGGCAGGGTAGAAGTGCTCTGTGTAGCTCTATGACTGGCACCAAATGCACGCTTAATAAATTAGGACAATAGCAGTAATTCTTATAGTTCTACTTCTTGTAGTAACGCTTTGTAGTAATGATTCCTCATTTGTTTTTTGCCTATAAAAATGTCATTATTGAGAAGTGAACTTTTGGAATTAAAGCACTTACTTCCATATTTGGTCTCTGATAGGTGTTTGAGAGACTCCTGAGTATCTGTCCTCCGTTTGTTAACTAGCAATCTCATCTGATTGCTTGTGGATGCTTTCTAAAAGTTGTCTTGTTCAGCATAGACTGTATGTGGAAGGATAGTAGTGTGTGTTTATCTCAGTTTATTCTTATAAATTTCTGTGTATGGATTGTAGGAATTAATCATTTGTATGTAAATCATAAACACTCAGAGCTGGCAAGCCACAGTGCTTTTAACAGGGTCACTTTTTGTTGGGAAAGATGATTCTAATTTTTGAGCCATGAGTGATATTGCATACCTGTAATCCCAGCACAAGAGATGCCAAGGAGGAAAGATTATGAGTTCTAGATCAGTCTGGGCTGGTTAGAGAACTCAAGGCCATCTTGGGCTAGGACTAGATGGTAGGACTACATCTTTAAAAAAAAAAACAACAAAAATTAATGTTTTAAACAAATAGAAATCCCATTCTCAGTCAGCAAAAGCATTCTTATTTCTACAACTTTGGGTATAATGAACCTTTCAGAAGCATGTCTTTTGCTAATCATACTATGTCCTTACTAAATTTCATGTAAATTAATTACTATTCATTTTGAAAACTGTTAGTTTCCTGCTCTCAACTATATTGTGTGTTTTTTCCCAGAGCATGAAGGGGAGAAGCAAAAGCAGCCATGACCTGCTTAAGGACGATCCGCACCTAAGCTCTGTCCCGGCTGTGGAAAGGTTGGTGCAGCGCGACACTGGACTCCCTGGTTTTAGACTGTCTCTCATTCTCTTGCGTTCTTTGTTTTCTTTATTGTTTCTATGCTAGAGCTCATAAAATAAATTTCTTAAGCCTAGTCAAAACAATATTACATTTTGATAAGTGATTAATCTTAGGCTAGTCTAAATACTAGAAACTGTTGTAATAATTTCATGTTGCGTTGCTCTCTGTCTTTGGGGCATTTTTGTTTGGGTGTCATGAGTAAACATGAGAGTGCAAGGTTACTGGCAGAAGTGACTTCATTCTGGGCCAATTTACTGTGTGTAAATTCTTACAACTTTCAGAGTTGATAGATATCTGTCTTAATTGTCTTTGTCGTTGCTGCTTGAGAGGTGGGATAGTAATTAGCGTTAAATGTATTAATTACATATGATATATTGGCCAGTGTCTTAGAGATAAAATACTGTTGTATTGAGGTTAACTCATCTTCAAAAATCCTATTTCAAAATACTGTTTTTTTAGTATCTTTTTAATTTGTAGGATACGGTTTCTTTAGCCAGAACCTTTTAAGCTATAGAAAAATTATTTTCTGCAAATGGAACAGCACGATGGTGGTTGTTTGTATTAAAAAATTAAAAAAAAATCCAGGGAATTATTTGCTTATCTGCTAATGGAGCATGTCTGCTCCACTGTTTATAAATGGTGACTTACTTCTTTGAGCATGTTCCCCTCTGTTGTACAGTGCCGTTCTGAGAGTGCTATGTGGAAAAACAAAACAAGACATTAATTCTAGCAAACCAGTTATGAACTCCAGTCTACCCTTGGTATAAATGAGTACTGCTATTAGTTTCACTGTGAAGCTAAAATGTGTTTGTCTTTACTTATTTTTGTAGTGAAAAAGATGCCGCAGCGGGAGATTTAGAAGATGTGAGTACTCATTTTAGTACAAATAGAGCTTGAACCATTTAGAGATAGGTCAGAGTTCTACAAACAAATTATGTTTTCTTTAAAAACATATATAAATACCTGAAATTTTTAAAATGAAATAATTTCTTTTGCTATTAGAATATTTACTTCCAAATAGATATGCACATTTTCCCATAGAATTGCAATCTTACATCTGAATTTCTGTTTTGCCTTTTCTCTGTTACGTACCATTATGTGAATACTCCAATTTTAGATGTTTTAATTTTATTTATGTTAAAAGTTTAAAAGTGATGAGTGGGCATCCTTTATGCTACAGGAAGTCCACGGAGGAGTTATTTATAATAGTATATTCCTATTTATACCCTTATTGAAGATGATGCTCTTTTAAGGTGGTACCTTTAATTCTAGCTAACAATGATAAATACAGAAGGAGAGGCCAGTGAGGAGACTCAGTAGGTAAAGGTACTTGTTGTTAAGCCTGAGGACAGGAACTCAGTTTCCTTACTCACAAGGTAGAGAGAGAGAAAGGATCTACATATTCAAGCTGAGGCAAGTGCGCACACACACACACACACACACACACACACACACACAAATATAGTAAAAATTAAAATAAACAGAAGGAAGATTTTCTTGTATTATGTGAATGATAAAGGTTTTCAAGTTATATAAATACTATGTTAGGATAAAACCTATTGTTGCATACTTTGCATAATTCAAAAGAAAATATATAATTTAGCATGTACAGAGATTTACTTTTTACCACAATCAAAAAGGGGGTTCTCTGATTAGCTATAAGAGAGAGAATGAATATCTGCTTTGGTAGGAAAACGTCCTGGGAGAAGAGAAACTTGGATCGTACAGGCACTAGACGCTAACTTGGTTATAGAAGGAGCTAAGAATGATAGAGTGTATAGGATGCTCAGCTAAGCAGAGATCACACCTTGTTCAGGAAGTGCAAGTTAAGTTTTAAAGTTTGAGAAACTTGCTGTGTGGAGAAGTGAGAGGGCTGAATATAGAAAGGACCGACCCGTGCCAGTCTCCTGAGTAAAAGAGTATGTTATATTCCTGGATCCAACAACAGGCCAGTATGACCAGTGTCGTGATGCCGAGAGAGGAGGACTGGCATGCTACACACAGTGGTATCCCCGTGCTAAGGAGTTTGGGTTTCATCTTAGAGGTGATGAGTAACAGTTGGATGGTATTGTTTAAGAAGAAGGGTGCCACAGTCAACTTTGCATTGTAGAAATCATCATTGGCAGCATTGCACAGGACAAATGAGAGCAAGGAGGCCAGGGTAAAGGGAGTGCGGGAAAGCTGCTGAAGGAGGAACGCTTTGAGGAGGGAGATGAGGAAGGAGTCTAAGAGAACCACAAGTTTCTGGCTTGGTGACCTTGTTAGCAAGGTACCAAACACAGGACACACTTGAGGCTGGGTGGTAGATAAAAATTAATTAACAATTTGTATATTTTGAGTTGAGTTACCTTGAAGACATCTGGTTATAATAATAAGGGCTAGAAAATAGGGCTTTATTCTTAAGTTTTTGGGTAGGATGAGGTCACTTAAAGAGAGTGTTTGTTCTCTGACCTGTTTTAGATCCAAAAGCCTTTTAATGTGTGCGTCCTTTCCCCAGAAAGTGTCCTATTGTCACAAATAAAATTTTACGACTTTGCAAAGATCTATTTTATATCTGCTGAGGCCCAAACATGTCAGGTATAACTTAAACATCTTGCCAAACACATGCAGTTTCTGTCCACAGAGATTTTTGGTTCAGTTAAGTCCGCAACAAGACTTGGGATTACATGTTATCAAGTAATAATTTGACTGATTCTGTACTGATACTTTGCATATATGAAAATCAATATATGTATATACATATGTAGTTTTTTGTTTGTTTTTGTTTTGTTTTGTTGAGACAGGCTCTAACCATATAGTCCTGGCTGGCCTGGAACTTGCTCTGTAGGTCAGGCTGGCTTCCAACTCTTAGAGAAGGGGCTGCCTCTGACACTGCTTCCCTGGTTCAAGGATTAAAGACGTGTGCCTGGGTGGATTTTATTTTATTTTTTTTTTAACAAATAATAATTTGGGGAGTCAGAGAACCAGACTTTGAAAAACCCTGCTGTAAGGGTTCATAGTCCTCAAGTCAAGAAGCCTGTCTAGCTGTCTCTTGGCAGGCCAAGGAATCACAGGAGATAAATAACCCCTTGTTGTCTTCTTTCTCCCCCTTCTCTCTCCTCTTTAGTAATGCTGGGAGCTGTTCTAAAAGATGAATATAAAATAGTAGGCAAATAGACCAGACTTTTTGCTTTCCTGGAGTATTCTCCTTAATTGTCTGAGAAAAAAATCGTAAACAATAAGTGCTATAGAAATAAGGAGGACTGAATATGAGATGGGAAGGGTTTTTATTATTTTATATTTTTTTCCTCTGTTAATAGTAAAGTCAAGATACATCACTAAGGGGGTAGGAGAAGAAAAAAGCCAACATTGGGATATCTAAAATAAGAGTGTTCCAGTCTAAAGAGAGCGGCACTAAGGAGACTCTGTCAGGGAGAAGGTAGCCAGCCCCCGGTGCACCGTGCTCTCAGAAGACTGGTGACTGCTGGGGCTTCGGTTGGAGGCCTAAGGCGGTTTGGCTGGGTTTGATTTTGCTGCGGTGCAGGGCACACTGGTGGGTTTTGCCGAAGGTGCTTGAGTCTTAGTGACTGCAGTTCACCTCTTCTAGTTGAATGAATTCCTGGTTGATGTTACGCTGGCCAAGCCTCCAGAACCACATTTCCTACAGGGATGAGGATGAGACTGGGTGGTGCAGAGGGAGTGCTCCACAGACAACTGGTGTATAGTGAGCTGATTATCCCTCTTGGGATCCCATCATATGTTACTAGCCTGGAGCAGGATACTATCCCAGTGGAAGAAGAGTCTTCATGCCCTTACTGGTTCAAAACTAAATATGGCCTAGAACCCAGCAAGCATCTAAAATGAGTCTCTGGAAGGGAAAGGGAACCAGAATGCCTAGCAGATACTCATTTTAGTTTTTACAGGATGGCGAAGATGAGCGTGCAGAGCATGATGAATACATTGATGGCGATGAAAAGGCCCTGATGAGAGAAAGAATCGCAAAAAGGTTAAAAAAAGACACGAGTGAAAATGTGAAATCAGCTGGAGAGGGCACAATAGAAAAGAAGCCGGCCAGCCGCAGGTAAGTCAGCCATTGTCCTTCGGCATCCGCAGTTCCGTCTCTCTGCTTCTCTTCACCTGGAACTGAGTGCTCCGCTCCCTAATTTTTAAACTCGAAACGGCATAATGTTAACTGTTAGGCTGTGGGAAATCAGCTTCTTTGGGCCTTTAAAAAAAAAAAGATCAGAATCAAAGGAATTTAATGTACAGTAAACAGTATATCGGCTGTATGTATGAAATTGTTTGTTTTGTTCAGAAATGTGAACTTTGAGTGATTTGTATAAGAAAGACATCCTCAAAAGCTTTAGGGGAGTAAAATTGGTCCAAATTGGTGAGTAAAGTGCCCTGAAACCATTCTTAGATATCTTTTTTAAGTCTGATTGGCTAAAACTTACTGGGCTCTCTAATCATTGGCATTATAAAGTAAATTCCAGTGAATGCTGGAAGTCTGTCTGGTGTTAAAAGTTTGTTAGATTTTACTTTTCTGAAATTCAACTCAAGTAAAACCCCTCCCTTCCTAGATGATTCTTTATTATAACTCTAGGATATATACATCTTATCTATCACTGCTCTACAGCGTCACAGGATGTCTTTTATTCAGTTAATCTGTGCAGTACAATAAAAGTACATAGAAATCGTGTGTGTGTGTATTTCCCAGCCTTGTGTGGGAAGCTTTAAGATTGAGGCATTTCCTTTGCAGAGGTCCTTCAGTATTTACTTTGTTTAACCAAAAATAAAAGTGGTCCCCAGAAATATCTACTGATCACATTTGTTTGTGATCAGAAGTGAAACTGAGAGCTCAGGGTGGTGGCTCACACCTTTAATCACAGCACTCAGGAGGCAGAGGCAGGCAGATCTAAGTTAGAGGCCAGAGTGAACTACATAGTGAGTTCCAGGAAAACCAGGGCTACACAGAGAGACCTTGTCTTGAAAAACAAAGCAAAGCAAAACAAAAATAAGAAGAAAAAAAAATGATGAAAGTTCTGACTTAAAAAAAAAATCATATTAGTCATGGTTTTAGAAGCTGAAGTCCAAGATCGAACTCCTAACAAATTTGTTTTTTTCATGTGGTGGAGAAGACCTATGATGGCTCTTTTTCTTAACAGAACATCAGGTTGGAGGGCCACCAGCATTTGGTAAGGAGAGAAGAGATGGAGGATATAGGAGGCTTTGGTCAGTGTCTGAGCTTGAAAGCTGGCGACTGCCTAAGTAGTTACACTAAAGCAGTGCTTCTCAACCTGTGGGTCGCAACCCCTTGGTGTCAAGCCACCCTTTCAGAGGGTTTGCTTGTGACCATTGGAAAACACAGGTTATTTACATTATAATTCTTAACAGTAGCAAAATTATAGTTATGAAGCAACAACAAAGATAATTTTATGATTGGGGGTCAACATGACATGAGGAACTGTATTAAAGGATCGCAGTGTTAGGAAGGTTGAGAGCCACTGCAGACAGGTGCTTTCTAGAAGAGTGAGGAGATATTTGAGTCAGAGGCACTGTGGAGCTTGTCATTTTGTCCTGCTCTTCTGATGATTTCTTACATAGTCACACCCTAGAAAATATCTAGTTATCGTAACAGTTTTTCTGTTTTTATAAATGAATATAATTTGCATATTTTAAATCATAAAATATTAAGTTTAGAATACTTTGTACATTCACTGTATTAGCAAAAACCCTTATTAAAGTACTTGCAAGTCTACCCAGGAAAGTGAATTTCAGAAAACTAATTCCCTAAAAGTAGTTTTAAAATTTTAGGTAGGGCTGTCACGTGGTAAAGGAGAAACCTGATGCCGGCAGGTTGTCCTCTGACTTCCACATCTGAGGAGGTCACAGTAAATACGTACTTTTAAAGAAAGTTTTGGGTAAACATATGCATTGTGAATATGGATTGGTTTTAAACTCCCGTTTACTCCCATGTGCATCCAGGGCTGGATAGGAGTTTGAGCTGCACGTGTCAGCCCGCAGCTGCTGGCGGTTGAGGTGGTACCTTTTATCATCTGGACATGGCAGTCCTAGCTGAAGGCTTAACTGGAATCGGTTTTTGGCCTGTAGGTGGCACTCAGTGGCTACAAGTTAGTCATGTAAGAAACAAATTGAGTATTCTGTCCTGCTTATTTATTTCAAGCCTTTGTGTTCTGATTCAAAATAAATCACTAAACATTAAAGTCAGAAGGAGCGAATATCATTTTCTGTGCTGCTTGCAGTCGCTATGAAACCACTGTCTTTTTTGTGTAATTTCTTAATTTTTAATGTGTAAAAATGCAATCATAGAGCCAAGTAGAAATATTAAAGTCAAGAGTGAAGACCTCATGAATTAGTCAGTCTTTAAATTATGAGACGTGTTACTATAAAGTCATAAGCAATATACACTAACTCCTGAGGCCTGGGTAGCACTTACATTTAATGTCACTAAATTTAGTCCCTGTTTCGTCATCGTCCTCTGTTGAATTTGCGATCTGTGACTAGGATGTCTCTTGGAATTTTGAATTATTTTCCCCTCTAGGATTTCTAGACCTCTTGAAAAAAGAAAGTATAAGTCTCAGATTTGCACGAGTCTTATCACACATGTTCTGCTTTGGATTATAAGTTTTCCATGACACATAAGTTTTGTTTTCTTTCTTTTCGCAAATTAAAAGGTAGTTTGATAATTAAATTTCAAAAAAGATAACACACTTTGAAATGATAGTACAATTTTTAAAGGATAGGAAAATTTAAAAGATCAAGCCAGTTGGTTGGTGCACACCTTTAATTGCAGCACTTGGGAGGCAGAGGCAGGCGGATCTCTATGAGTTTGAGGCCAGCCTGGTCTACAGAGATAGTTCCAATATAGCCAAAGCTGTTACACAAATAAACCCTGTCTCAAAAAACTGAAAAAAAAAAAAAAGAAAAGAAAAAGAAAAGATCAAAACCCGTGGACCTTCTAGCCAGGCAACTTCCGGCCTTAGAAGCGTCTGCAGGGTGTCCTCACTGTAGTCTCAGGACCTTGACAGGCAATGGGTGGAACTGAACCATCAGAGGACATGGCTTCTGACTCTCTATCTTTTGTGGACTGAAGCAAGAAGTGAGACATAAAGAAATAGAAATGCATAGATTAAAATCTGGAATATAACCCCCACATAATACTTGCAATTATGTCTTTGATCTGGAGTAACAGTGGTCTAAATATATTTTCTGGAAATGTTATAGCTGGGCAGCAGATACTAAGGTCAAACTCAGTCCTGGTTTGCATATTTTCCTGCTTTTACCAGAACTTGATGCTGATTTTTTTTTTAATATATATCTCCTAACTATCCACTCTGTTCTTAACTTTAATCTCAAATATTTTTTACTCTTATGCTAGGCACTGTGTAAGAACTACTGTGTGCTAGGTTCGGAAACACGAAATACAAGAGAAATGTGTTCTGTCCGCTAATGTTCATTGTCTAATTGGTGTCTGGATGCATCTCCCAAAGTTCAGGTGCAGCCATACTGAGAGATGAAGGACTGAAGGAATGACTACCAGGACAGGAGGGCAATCATACTAATTATGATTATCTGGGCAATGGATTACTGAGAAAAGATTCTGCCTACACCATGATCCCTCTCACACATGCCTGCATGAGCACACACACACACACACACACACACACACACACACACTCTTACACACACACGCACGCATGCACTCGTGCACACACAGAGAAGGCCCTCTCCACCCATCTCTGACTTAACCTCGAGCTTCCCAGACTTAAGAACCATTATCCACTTTCAGATATTTTGTTCTTAACAAACACAAATCATGAAAAATTAAGAATTGTAGAAAGTAAATATGGCAAGGTCTCTACTAGACTTGTGTGCCAAGTGTTATAGACATTGAATAAGTTGTATATATTTCAGAAAAGCATCAAATGCCAACTTACGAAAAACAAGAGAGGTGCAGAAGTGGTGGTTCATGCCTGCAATCCCGCATTTGGGTGAATTGCTCACAAGCTTATGAGTGCATTGCTCATAAGGTGGGAGGCTCATAAGTTTGAGATCTGCCTGGGCTGCATAGCATGTCAAATACCACGGGTTTCTTATGGGTCACCCTAATTCTAGTAAGATAAAGCATCTTTTGGAGCCACTGTTTAAATACTAGCACTCGTGCATCAAGCTCAGTTCTTTAGATTAACATTGCTACTCTCCCCAAGCTAACCGGATGATTTGTTTTAATGTCTTTACCTGTTATGGTTAAAATTTTGGAATAATATTGGTTGTAATATAAACCATTTCATACTTTGGTATTTCTGGCAAGTTTCCTTTATCATTCTTTTTGGAACTCTATTGCAGGAATTTTGGATATTCTCAGCAAAACTGTTTCTTGAACTGTTCAAAATGATATATCACTTTAGAAATGCTAAGTCAGTTCACTGAGAACCAGTTAGATCCATATGCGAGGGGTCATCTTTATACTAAACTCATCCCCATACACTTGAACTTAAGCAAATGCTCCAGAAATATGACAGCTCTACTGTTTTTATAATTGGATTCCGTATGGCAGACAGGAAGCTGTGAAGTGCACATTGGGGGAAGAGGGACCTATCAAAATAGGCAAGAGGCAGTTGCATATCTTCAGAGTTGCAGTCTATCAATCTCACAACATCTGTTGTTTATGGGGACTAGAGTTGTCCGTCTGAAATGCATTGTAGAAATTTTACAGGAAACATTCTTTAGGTCATTCTCTACCCTGGAAAGTAGATTTCCACTGAAGAAGTTTGCAACACTGGTTGCTCTCTTATCATCCCCAGCTGCTCATTGTGAATTCACCTGTTCACTAAACAGGCAAGCACAGTTGGTGTAAGAAAGAAGAGAAAGCTACCAGTGGTTCTAGTTTCTTTGTTTTGCACAAAGCACAAAACATTGTACAAGGGCCTGAGGGAAATTATAGCTAGTGTCTCTGTCTAGGCCTCTCTTCTCCGCCCCCCCCCCACTCTCGACTCTTGAGATCTTTGGCACCCTTCAGATAGCGCTTGATGTTCCTGGTTTGTTGAGTGTATTTATAGG